ACAAGAACTTACACCGCATCAGAAAGAAAATAAACTCAAAAGAGGTAAAGAGTTGCTACGCTTGGCCGAAAGTGATGAACTGCCGAATTTGATTTTCTACGATGAGAAAACATTCGTTGTCCAGCAGTTTGTAAACAAACAAAATGATCGTGTTTACTTGCCAAAGAGGTCAGCTGATAATGTGCACCTTCGGTTGGCCATCAGAACTCAAGTGCCGGCCATGGTGATGGTGTGGGCCGTCACAACAGCCGCTCTCCGCTCGTATTAATCGACCGTGGCATCAGAACAAATGCCGAATATTTTCGTGAAAATGTTCTGGAGGATGTATTAAAGCCTTGACACCTTGGACATTCCAACAGGACTTAGCACGCGCCATCCAAGAATGGTTACAAAATGAGGTTCCTCACTTCATTTCCTGCGCACAATGGCCACCAAAATCTCCGGATACCATTCCTATTGTGGTTGGAGTATTTTGGAAAGCAGGGTTGGCACTGAAAAATACCAAATTGTCGATCACCTCAAGCAAGCGCGTCACCGGGAATGGGCCAAAATACTGCAAAGCAACATTCGGGCAGCGTGTGACGGTTTCATTGGTGTTTGAAGGCCGTAATTCGTGCCAAAGGTGACCGAATTTGATGCATACATTTAAAAAAAAATGTAAAAGTTATGGCGTTTGACTTTGTTGCAGTTTTTTTGTCTCAGGCGAATTTGTAAAAGCTGTTTTATGGTCTTTTAAAGTCTATTAAAAAATTTAATAATATATTTTCTTCTGGTTTTTCGTTTGGCTCGAGGTCAGAATTTAAAAAACAGACGAATTTGTTTTTTTATATATTAATTTATTTGTCCGATATTTCGACTATCTTCGATAGTCATCATCAGGGATTTGACTTGAAAAAACAATTAACATTTAGTATAAATAAATAAAACAAAACACTATAACGATAATTACATTGGATTTTAACTCTTCTGTTTTTAAGTTCTCTGATGCAGCTTTTCCATCCTTTCCTTTTTACTCGAATTTTCCAACTAATTTTTCTTATGCTTTTCGATGACATTTCTATAAATTTGAGCACAATGTTCCGTGTCAGTTTTGTAGTTCATTCGTTTATTAGGAGGTACATTTATAATATGTAGCATTTCTAACATGTACCTACGTTTGTAGTTATTTTCTTGTGCCAAGATGTCGACATCTTTGAAATTGGGCGTATGTCCTTCTTGTTGGCAATGGGCAGCAAGGGCAGTTTTTTGCTCTATGGGTTTAGTTTTTGTCTTTTGGTCCGATTTATGAGAGCTAATACGAGTTTTTAATTTAGATTTTGTTGTCCCAACATATGCCTTCTGACATACGTTGGACCCGTCCCCATTACATTTAATCTTATAAACGACGTTAGATTTATCCTCGTGTGGAATTTTTGTTTTAGTTCTACTAAAGAAATTATTGTTGGTGTTACTGCTTCTGAATGCCAATTGATACTTCTCACTGTTGTACATGTTTGATGAAGAAAATCTTTCCGAAAACCCTGGTATATATGTAGATCTTTTATATGTCTTTTCCACTAATTTTGTATTTTGGTATGCTCTATTACCCTCGGCGCGTTTAATCAATTCATTAACAATGTTACTAGGGAAGTCATTCATTTTTAAAATCTTTATGATTTTGATTTTGTTCTTTGCATGGAATTTTCTGTCACTTATTTTCAAGACCCTTTGGATAAAGTTTGTGGCCGTGTTGATTTTTATACGTCGCGGATGCTTTGAATGGTAATTAATTAATCTACCCGAGGCTGTTGGCTTTTGGTACCAATCTAATAACAACTTTTTTCCTTCTCTTTGTACTAAGCTATCTAGATATGGTAACTGATTATTCAATTCACTCTCCATCGTAAACCGTAGTTGTTTGTTGTACATATTCAGCGTCTTAAGTGTATTTTCCACTTCCTCCTTTTTTACGATGCAAAATATGTCGTCCACATATTTTGTCAAGAATCTGGGTTTGATAGCCAATTTGTTCATAGTTTCGTCAAGAAGTTTCTCCATTATTATATCAGCAATGATTGGTGAAATAGGTGAGCCCATCGGCATGCCTTTTTGTTGTTCATATATCTTATCCTTATATGCGAAATATCTAGCGTCCTTAATACATGTTGTCAAAATGTCAATAAAAAGATCCATTGGTATATGTGTATGTTCCTTTATAATAGACCAACTATCTTTAATAGCACTAATAGCCAAGTTTACTGGAATGCTTGGGAACAAGGAAATCACGTCAAATGAAATTAAAATTTCGTCATCTTCAATATGTTGATTATTAATCCTGGATTTTGAAGTCTATTGCATCTTTAATGTTGTATTTTGAATCAACTGTCAATACTTTTAGGATTTTTGATATATATCTGGATAACTCATAAGTCGGCGAATTTGTAAATGAACATATTGGTCGTAGTGGTGTTCCCTCCTTATGGATTTTGGGCAATCCATATATCTTTGGTGGTATTGACGTTCTATTTATTAAGTTATATTTCACTTTCTCGTCAATTAGTTTTAACTCAAATAATTTTGTAACTAATTTATTGTTTTTCTCTTGTAGTCCTGTTGTTGGGTCTTTTCTTACACGTTTGTAAGTACACATGTCCATTAAAATTGCGTTCATTTTTGAATCATATTCTGTTTTTGACATGGCAACAGTTTTTCCACCCTTGTCTGCATTTAATATTAATAATTCTTTATTTTGTTTCAAAAATTTCGCCGTTTGGTCCACTGTGTTTAGAACAAACCGATCTCTTTTCCCTAATGTCGTTTTCCTCGTGTGGTCATTTATCAGAGTAATAAAATTTATTCTCGCATTCTCTTGTTGTTCTCTGTTATCCAACGTTTGAATGCACTCTTCTCCCTCAGCGATAATATCAAACAAGGGGAACGTCGTTTTTGTTGTTGGCAAAGAGAACTTCGGCCCAAGAGACAGCAACCATTCAACGTTGTTGGGTATGTCAGTATCTGTTTTATTTACGAACCATTCCTTGTTGTGTTGTATGTTCAGTTGACAGTGTTGTTGTTGTTTTAATGCGTCTAGTTTGTTGGTGTGTATAGATTTCTGTTTTGTGCTTTGAGAGTGAGAAATGATATTCTCACTTTCTGTGAGTAATATTAAGTCGTCTGCATCTAATTGGTCCCTGAGTTGAGCTTTAATGTTTGTAAGAGTATTTCTTGTAATGTTGACTTGCTTATGTTTCTGCTGTATTAATAGTTTAAGTACTTTTGTGTGGAAGTTATAGGTGATTGTGTCTAACGATGTTTTTACATTTGTTGGTATTTGTTTATTTGTTTTAAATAAGTCAAAAACATTCTTTGTGGTGTTAGAAATAAAATTTGGAATTATACCTGTTTCTCTGCACTTAATGAGGAAAGTTGCTGTTGATGTTAAGCGTGCTGACTGCCTGTTACTTTTTGAATATTGTTTGATGACATTTTTAGTTTCTTCGTTATATTTTTGTTTTATATATCAGAGAACTTAAAAACAGAAGAGTTAAAATCCAATGTAATTATCGTTATAGTGTTTTGTTTTATTTATTTATACTAAATGTTAATTGTTTTTTCAAGTCAAATCCCTGATGATGACTATCGAAGATAGTCGAAATATCGGACAAATAAATTAATATATAAAAAAACAAATTCGTCTGTTTTTTAAATTCTGACCTCGAGCCAAACGAAAAACCAGAAGAAAATACATTGATCAAAGGTCAACAATAACTATACAAATTAATAACACGGAAGGCACGCCGATAAAAACAACAATACTCAACATGAATGTCTATAAAAATATAAAACAAAAATATAACGAAGAAACTAAAAATGTCATCAAACAATATTCAAAAAGTAACAGGCAGTCAGCACGCTTAACATCAACAGCAACTTTCCTCATTAAGTGCAGAGAAACAGGTATAATTCCAAATTTTATTTCTAACACCACAAAGAATGTTTTTGACTTATTTAAAACAAATAAACAAATACCAACAAATGTAAAAACATCGTTAGACACAATCACCTATAACTTCCACACAAAAGTACTTAAACTATTAATACAGCAGAAACATAAGCAAGTCAACATTACAAGAAATACTCTTACAAACATTAAAGCTCAACTCAGGGACCAATTAGATGCAGACGACTTAATATTACTCACAGAAAGTGAGAATATCATTTCTCACTCTCAAAGCACAAAACAGAAATCTATACACACCAACAAACTAGACGCATTAAAACAACAACAACACTGTCAACTGAACATACAACACAACAAGGAATGGTTCGTAAATAAAACAGATACTGACATACCCAACAACGTTGAATGGTTGCTGTCTCTTGGGCCGAAGTTCTCTTTGCCAACAACAAAAACGACGTTCCCCTTGTTTGATATTATCGCTGAGGGAGAAGAGTGCATTCAAACGTTGGATAACAGAGAACAACAAGAGAATGCGAGAATAAATTTTATTACTCTGATAAATGACCACACGAGGAAAACGACATTAGGGAAAAGAGATCGGTTTGTTCTAAACACAGTGGACCAAACGGCGAAATTTTTGAAACAAAATAAAGAATTATTAATATTAAATGCAGACAAGGGTGGAAAAACTGTTGCCATGTCAAAAACAGAATATGATTCAAAAATGAACGCAATTTTAATGGACATGTGTACTTACAAACGTGTAAGAAAAGACCCAACAACAGGACTACAAGAGAAAAACAATAAATTAGTTACAAAATTATTTGAGTTAAAACTAATTGACGAGAAAGTGAAATATAACTTAATAAATAGAACGTCAATACCACCAAAGATATATGGATTGCCCAAAATCCATAAGGAGGGAACTCCACTACGACCAATATGTTCATTTACAAATTCGCCGACTTATGAGTTATCCAGATATATATCAAAAATCCTAAAAGTATTGACAGTTGATTCAAAATACAACATTAAAGATGCAATAGACTTCAAAATCCAGGATTAATAATCAACATATTGAAGATGACGAAATTTTAATTTCATTTGACGTGATTTCCTTGTTCCCAAGCATTCCAGTAAACTTGGCTATTAGTGCTATTAAAGATAGTTGGTCTATTATAAAGGAACATACACATATACCAATGGATCTTTTTATTGACATTTTGACAACATGTATTAAGGACGCTAGATATTTCGCATATAAGGATAAGATATATGAACAACAAAAAGGCATGCCGATGGGCTCACCTATTTCACCAATCATTGCTGATATAATAATGGAGAAACTTCTTGACGAAACTATGAACAAATTGGCTATCAAACCCAGATTCTTGACAAAATATGTGGACGACATATTTTGCATCGTAAAAAAGGAGGAAGTGGAAAATACACTTAAGACGCTGAATATGTACAACAAACAACTACGGTTTACGATGGAGAGTGAATTGAATAATCAGTTACCATATCTAGATAGCTTAGTACAAAGAGAAGGAAAAAAGTTGTTATTAGATTGGTACCAAAAGCCAACAGCCTCGGGTAGATTAATTAATTACCATTCAAAGCATCCGCGACGTATAAAAATCAACACGGCCACAAACTTTATCCAAAGGGTCTTGAAAATAAGTGACAGAAAATTCCATGCAAAGAACAAAATCAAAATCATAAAGATTTTAAAAATGAATGACTTCCCTAGTAACATTGTTAATGAATTGATTAAACGCGCCGAGGGTAATAGAGCATACCAAAATACAAAATTAGTGGAAAAGACATATAAAAGATCTACATATATACCAGGGTTTTCGGAAAGATTTTCTTCATCAAACATGTACAACAGTGAGAAGTATCAATTGGCATTCAGAAGCAGTAACACCAACAATAATTTCTTTAGTAGAACTAAAACAAAAATTCCACACGAGGATAAATCTAACGTCGTTTATAAGATTAAATGTAATGGGGACGGGTCCAACGTATGTCAGAAGGCATATGTTGGGACAACAAAATCTAAATTAAAAACTCGTATTAGCTCTCATAAATCGGACCAAAAGACAAAAACTAAACCCATAGAGCAAAAAACTGCCCTTGCTGCCCATTGCCAACAAGAAGGACATACGCCCAATTTCAAAGATGTCGACATCTTGGCACAAGAAAATAACTACAAACGTAGGTACATGTTAGAAATGCTACATATTATAAATGTACCTCCTAATAAACGAATGAACTACAAAACTGACACGGAACATTGTGCTCAAATTTATAGAAATGTCATCGAAAAGCATAAGAAAAATTAGTTGGAAAATTCGAGTAAAAAGGAAAGGATGGAAAAGCTGCATCAGAGAACTTAAAAACAGAAGAGTTAAAATCCAATGTAATTATCGTTATAGTGTTTTGTTTTATTTATTTATACTAAATGTTAATTGTTTTTTCAAGTCAAATCCCTGATGATGACTATCGAAGATAGTCGAAATATCGGACAAATAAATTAATATATAAAAAAACAAATTCGTCTGTTTTTTAAATTCTGACCTCGAGCCAAACGAAAAACCAGAAGAAAATACATTGATCAAAGGTCAACAATAACTATACAAATTAATAATATATTTACTAATTTCAAAACCCAACCATAGACAATTCCTTCAACGTCATCTTAATATTTCTTTTCTACAATAAATTCTCCTAAATGATCTCCTATTAACAAAATATATTTTATATTTTTGTTAAAAAAAAACTACAATTGATATGGCAACTCTGTTTAAACTTCACTTTGGTTTGAACGTATAATGTGAAGAAAAATAAAAGTACACTCAATCAGTTTTGTCTAGTCACATGCATTATTTCAACAACTACAATAATAACAATAACAAAAAACAATAACAATTATGGCTTACTTAAACTTTCCTTATATTATTCAATCACTGATTGAATGATTTGTTGAAATTGTAATGAGAGATAACACAAATTACTTTTGAAGAGGAGGCAAACAAAAAAGGAGAAATTGGGGGAAAAACATAAAATTTTCATTATTCAAAATATTGTTGTTGTGTGTATGCCCCTTTTCTACTATTTACTTAATGAGATTAATTGAAATTGGAGATTTTCCCACATTCAGGAAGTATGAGGTAATTTTCGAAATTATTTTTTATTAGAAAATCTTTAAAAGGTTTTGAGGGTCTTCCGTGTGGAGATGATTTTCAAAAGCTATTCTGTCTATAGAAGATTGTCAAGATGTATTTTGTCTAGAGAAGACCTTCGAAAGGGGTTCTGTCCATCGAAATCTTTCAAAAGACATTCAGTCCTTTAAATAGATCATTGGTCTCTGGAAGACCTGAAACTTCTCTTCGGTCTTCAGAACGCCTTTAAAGGGCCTTCTGCCTACGTCTTCTATCTATGGAAGACTATAAAAAGGATTTGGTATATAAAAGACCTTAGTACGGTATTCAGTATACAGAACGCCTTTAAAGGGTCTTCTGTTTATAGAAGACCTTCAAAAGGTCTTCTGTATATGTAATACGTTCACAAGGTCCTCTACAGGGTGAGATGAAAAAATTGCAACCAACTTCAGACTGTTGTCATTTCTACGCTACTCGTCTGACAGCTGTTAAAATTATTCCAGTGTTTACAAGCGCACAAAAGACTTTTGTTGAAAAAATTCCGGATAAAAAGTTATACGTGATGGAATTCAAGCGTGATACTGTGATACTGATCGAAACCCGCATCGCAGTGGCCGAAAAATGGCTCGTGAGCTGAACATATCGCAATATTTCTTTCGGCAAATATTGAAAAATGAGCTCGGGGTAAAGCCATTGAAATTCCATAAAGTGCAAGAACTTACACCGCAGCAGAAAGAAAATATACTCAAAAAAGCTAAAGAATTGCTCAAAAGAGCTAAAGAATTCGTAAACAAACAAAATGATCATGTTTACTTGCCAAAGAGGTCAGCTGAAAATCTTTCTAGCAGAAGACCTTTTGTTCTTTTATGAGAAGAACTTTTGGTCAGTAAAAAATCTTTTAAAATATTTTCGCATGGAAAACCTTTCAATTGTCTTCCGTCTATAGAAGACTTATGAAGGTTCTTCCGTCTATAGGATATCTCTGACAGGACTTTGCTCTATTTTTATAGGTCTTCCATATCTCATGTCTATGAAATGAAAGTAAAAAAGTAAAAACTATATATTTTTATGACACCTTTTCTAGAGTGGCCATACCTTCAAAAGTCGTTTATATTTCACTTTCTTTTGAATTTAAAACTAACAATTTTATGTTTGTCCCGTTTCAGATAATTCCCCTGCATCATGATTAAATTCAAAATAAGGCTTCTCATAGCCTTTGTCATCTGTATTGGTTCCAGCGCAGCTGTACTCTCCTCAGCCCAGTTGCCAGTCGAAGCACGTGGAGGGGCCTCCGAAGAAGATGATGATCCCGTTATTTCGACTAGTTACGTTCTGCCAAATCAAATTTTCAACGATGGAAAACCCTATTATGCTGCCAAAGATCCCATTTCGGGTCAGTTGGATTTCAATGTGAAGAAACCGGCGGGTATTGAGACATCAGCCAATGAGGTTGTAGATCCCAATGAGAAAACTGTCATATCGTCATCGTCGCCAAATATTCACGACTTTCTCAATTTACCGGTTAAATATTCATCGTCGAAATTCGTGTACCCCCTAGTTTCAAGTTCCTATGCGAATCTGAAATATCAGGGAAGTAATAAAAATTATATAACCAATAAAAAGCCAACGCAGGTGATACAGGCAACATCGGCGCCCAACTATCATACGGCGAATTATTTCACACTACCAACAACGAAATTGACACCGGTGGCACCAACGCAGCCAAGTACAACAAGTTCTAGTAGCACAACAACAACGACGACCACCTCTACTACAAGTACAACTAAGAAGCCAACAACAACATCTACTTCCACAACATCAACAACATCCACTTCTACTTCGACAAGTACCACTTCAACCTCCACTTCAACTACCAGCACTACGAAGGCTCCCGTTCCCACACAAACATCGACATTGGCTTCATCCTCGGCCAAATATACCACCTCCAGTAAGAGGCCAACCACCACAACTACCCCAGCTCCCAAGACCTCTACAACACGCAAGAAGTTTGTGCCCACCAAGAAATATAGTACCTCTACAACGGGAATCACCAGCACTACCATGCATTTGTCAGAACAGCAACAACAACAGAAATTTGATGGCACCAAACCCACTAAGCCCACAACAACAGCTGGACTCACAACCCGTCATCCCACACCATCTGCAGCCATATTCCCAACTGATGCAACCGAAAGCAAAGATTGGTATCCCGCTCCACCCAGTACAAGTACCACCGGTCAACCCGTTGTCTTCACCGAAGATCCCACATCACCACCCGCCTTCAGTCCTCTACCCACCAGCACCCGCATTCCCGACCTGGATCCAGCTGATGTTTATCACACTTTGGATCAAAAGAATGTGGAAAATAAATTTGAACAAAAACCCAGCATGACTTTGGCAGATATTTTCAATAGCCTGGCTGAGGAGGAGTCCGCAGTGGCTGCCATCAGCAATCCTTCGCACCAGGGATTGGATGCTCAAGGAAATTTGATGGAACCTTTGGATCCTTCCAAACCCTCACCCTTTGCCATGCAACAGAATTCCGGACGCAGACCCCAGGCACCACCCACAAAACCAACATTTGGCACAACCAGTAATGCTCCCGCCCTCAATGGCCAAGTGATCTCTTCCAATCAAGAGAATTTCAACAACGAATATGTTTCCTATCAAGTCCAGCAACCCAATATCATGCAATATCGTCCTGCCCCTGGAGCCATCAATAATGTGGTCATTTCACCGGGACAAAACTCTGCCTCCTTTGTTTTGGGCAGCCAACAGCAGGTGGGAGCCAATCAATTTGGCAGCGTTGAAAAGGAACCGCTCTTCTCCAAGGAACATCAACATCCCGTTCAATATGGCACGGTTATCAATGAAGACATTAGCACTTTGAATCGCCAGCCACCACCCAGTCCTCCAACACCATATCAGGAAATGCCGAAACCAGTACCCACCTCAAACTTCCATCAAAATGGTAACTATGCAACGGATTCGATAAGACCCGATATACCCAGACCACCCTCGGGGGCCAATGGTTATCAGGAGCCACCGCCAGCTGCACCTTCACCCTATCAACAGCTGCCATTGATTGGCTCAAATGTAAGGAACAAAATTTCAGGTCAAAAACCCCAACCACCACAGCAACCACAACAACAACAGTCAGTGACTTTGTCAGGAGCCGGCATTGGTTCGGTACAATCTGTGGATCCTCAAGAGAATGCCGATCCCAATTCGGTAACATTGGGTTCCAGTCAAAATACAAAAGAATTGTTAGTTTCCACCAATATCCGTTTCCCCGCCAATGAAGAGCAATCCGCCGAGGTACCCTCATTGCCGGTGGCCAGTGGACCCCCAGCAGGACCACAAATCAATGGCCATGCTCAGCCCTTGAGCTTGCAACAAATTCAAAATACCAACACAGTTGTCTTCCCAAAATCCGAAGAGACCGTTGGAGGTACGGTAAGTGATGCCGCTGCCGGCGCCGCTGTACAAATTCAGAAACATGAGGTTCTGACAATGAGTCAACATCAACAGAAATTGGTAAGTAGAACAAAGAAGACCTTTTGAAGTGACCTCTTATTAGGGCTTCTATTCATAGGATTAATATACCTAGCGGACTTTTAAAGGGCATTGACCTCTCTCATATCCTTAAATTTCCTCCAAATGGTCCCATGTCATTTGGAGATCTCTTCGAGGTCTTCCATTCATAGAAAATGTTTTTAAGACCATCCTTTTTCAGTAGTATACCTTCAATGATCTCACGTCCATCTCATAACAGTTCCTTTCTTATATCCTTTTACTCTTAGCAAAAATACTATTTCAAACACCTTTAATTGTTTTCTTTCGCAGAACTTCCCCACATCGAATGAGCCCAACACTCCCGCCACTCATATGGTGCCACCACCACGTTTCCCACCACCACGTTTCCCACCACCACTGCCGAACAGCATTAATGAACATGATTTGCAGAAACCCAGCCGCCCTCATGGTGGTCCCCAGTATCCATTCAATGAATACACTCGCAAACCCATTCCCGGTATAACTCGACCAAATCCGGATCGTCATTTACCCAACATTTTGCCACAATTTCGACCAAGTTCCAAAGTTTCTACAGGTCACCCACAACAAACCAATTTCAATCAGGAACCAGGCAATATCCTTGTAGGCGGACCTCAGCAGCCACCTCCACATCTCAAGCGCGGCCCCAATGTAGGTAATCCACAATTCTCACATCGTCGTCAGCCGTTGGGTCAACAAAGTCGCTATCCCCTGAATCGTAACATTGATTATCCCTCAGTTGGACCACCACCACCCCAGCTAGCTCCTCATGAAATTGCCAATAGACGTATCTATCGCGTCTCGCCATACGGAGGACAAGGTATGCAATACTTGGAACGTCCCGGCGGCGGCTATCCACGTAGACCGCACATGCCACATGGCTTGAGGCCAGCGGAATCATTAAATGTGGAACGCCATGTAATGTCTCCCGTTTTGGAAAAATTACCCGCTTTCGAAGAAGAAGATTTGGTTATCAATGATCCTCCTCAGCCCATTGCGCCCAGCAAGGAATCCTCTTTGGTGAACGATGCAAAATTGGAACCGGTGGTAACTCTGCAAATGTTACAATCCCAAAAGAAGGCTGTATCCCTACCCAATGATGATACCGGAGCTGGAGAGATCCAAGTACCTAGCCTTGATGAGGCGGAGGAAGAAATTAATCAGGCTGCCGAATCTAATAATCGTAATGGTCTTTATGTTGTCTATCCCATGGCGGGTGACAAAAAATCCGAGGTTGCCGCTGAGGATTTGAAAAATAAATTGCCAGCTGTGGCCCATGTGGAACCACCCACGGGTAGTGAATATCAGAATACACCCTTCTCGGTGGTAAGGGATGAACCCCAGGAACCCATTTTGAAAAACAAGAAACCTGTTTCCTTGCATCAACAGCAAAAGGCGGCTGCCAACAAAGATGCCTTCCCATATCCCATTGAAAAACCTGATCCATCCTATAGTGAATTAAATAAGCCATCTAAGGTGCCAGGTGTGCTAATTGCCCCCAAGATCATCAATGGAGCCTATGGTACCGGCACCATTGCACCAATTGCCATTGCCTATACCCCCACTGAGCCCACACCTCATATTAAGAAAATGCAACAGGAACAGCATCAATATCAAATGCAACAACAGCAACAGTATCAACAGCAAATGCAACAACAACAAAAACATCAGGAACAACAAATGTACTCGAATGTAAACTTGGCCACACCCGTCATAAAGGAGATACGTCAATTCGATCAGGCCCAAGACAATGGACATGACATCGATTTGCGCGGTCAAAATTATGAAAAGAATTTCATGGCTCCCTTCTATCCCAGTGTCAGTTTGGATTCCGTGACCAGCACCCCATCGAATGGTTGGAATATCTTAAAGACCACCAAGGAACCGTTGTACAGTAAAAACAATATTGATCGTTCGGACGTTAACTCGGCTAACAAAGATGGCCAAACTGAGGGGGAGGAGGAGGCCACCGAAAACACCACCCTGAAATCATTTGAAATGGACAAATTCCAACCCGAATTACAGGGAGGTTTCAAACCCATCTATCCACCTGGCTATAAATTAGCCAATGAAGATGAGGAGCAAGAACAGCTGGAGAAGCATGAAAGCAATAACATGCCTCTGGCATTGGCCAGTCACATGGAAATGCCTTTGAATTTACAGCAAGCCGACGCGTCCTCCACATCATCATCGACTTCATCAACAACCTCCACCACAACCACTGCCAAACCTTTGCTTGAGGACAACAAGGAAGTTCCCAACACCACCAAGGCTCCCCCACAAACAGAAACCACCACAAAACGCATCAAATCAAAATTTGAAACCAGTCTGGCAGCTCTGCTCTTTGGCGAAGATGACACCGATGCCGAAATGGAGGCCGCCGATGGTCCACGTGAAGAACCTCAGGCCCGCAAAGAACCAACCAAAGCCATGATGAGTGGTCCAAGAAGTATACCACGCATGGGACCACGTAGTTTGAAAATTTAAATTAAAAGAAAAAACCACAACAAAAATGACACTCGAATTAATTTAAAGAATTTTCTAGGCATTTTCACAAATTCTAATCTTATTTAATTTAGTTGTAATTTTAATTTATTTAAATAGGATATAAAGAAAACAAAAACATATTTTTAATTTTTAAATTTAATTGAATTGTTTTAAGAAACTACAACTCTTTGCAAAAACAATAAACATCCCGGCAGACATACACACATGGATCCGTAAAATATAACCATCATAATAATGTAACCGTCTTCTCTGCTCATCCAATGCCCAAAGTTACAACTCTTGCAAGTCTAATTTGAAATTTTTGAAATTATTTGGAAATTTCTTAACCTTGTTATTTTTGGTTTCTTATTAGACTTGCGATTTGTTGAACTTATTTAATCTCTGAGATAACTATCGCTCACATTCTCGTTCGTTCTCACTATCTCTGTTTCATATTCTTTTTTCATAATCAAATGTATTAATTTAATTTTTTTACAAAATAATAAGAACACGTATATAATAAAATATTTTTTAAATAAATATGTAGTTATATCAAAATATTATTTTTATTATAAATGAAACCCTTTTTCTAATTTTAATGTATTTATCTCACGAATCTATAATCCATACGAATATATTTTTAATAAAAATTAAAAAAAAATTATTTTTTTTATTTTTGGGAAATATTGGTCAGAAATCGGTCGAATGAATGCAGAACTACTTAAAAAATAAGGAAGTGGACGGAAGAAACAGCAACATCAGTAAAAATTGTTCGAAAAGTAAAGAAACGACTTAATCGAAACCGGCGTGCAAAGTCCGAAAATGGCTCGTGAGCTGAACATATCGCAACATTTGCCATTAAAATTCCATAAAGTGCAAGAACTTACACCGCAGCGGAAAGAAAATAGACTCAAAAGAGCTAAAGAGTTGTTTCGCTTGGCCGAAAGTGGTGAACTGCAACAACATTCGTTGTCCAGCAGTTTGTAAACAAACAAAATGGTAGTCTTTACTTGCCGTGGCATCAGAATAAATGTCGAATATTATCGGAAAAATATTCTGGAGGGTGTATTAAAGCCTTGGCCACGCAAACATTTTGGCCGCAGACCTTGGACATTCCAACAGAACCGCAGAACATTCGGGCAGCGTGTAACGATTTCATTGGCCGTTTGAAGGCCATGATTCATGCCAATGGTGACCAATTCGAACAAATCTAAACTTATTCTAAAATTTGATGTTATTTCCGACAATTTGTGCATTCATTTAATAAAGTTAAAAAGAAAAAGCTAAAAATTGTGGCGTTTGACTTTACTGCAGTTTTTTATCTCACCCTGAATATGTATTCCTGGCGTTTAGGTAAGATTAACACTCTTGACGTAGGTGAGATTAACACGCTTGCCCCTCTATTTTGGTTACTTTTGCACAGTGTAATAGTTTAACGACATAATTATATTTGTATTACTTACTTGTTGGGTATCTTTGGTTCAACCGCAACTTTAATTGGGTTCCGTCGATTTCCACCGTCCTCGAATTATTTATATTTGCTTTACATAGAAAACGTTAGTTGATTGTTGTATTTGCTAATCAGGGTCAAAACTATAGACAATTTTCAAAAAATTGTTTCAGACTAATTTCTTCTTAATACCAATATTCCTTTCTTTGTTCGCTTTTGTTTGATATTCACTTGTGCTTTTTTTATTGAAATAAGAAATTGACTTAATTAATAATAGGTTGAAACTGAATGTGCTGTTCGCGGTCACGATGCATTTGCGAAAGAAGATGTATGCGCAATTGTACAATGTTGTCCAAGGGTACACTGCATAGACGGCATGTGGTAGCTTCAATTGTACCATCACTAATAAATGGTTAGAAATAAACAATTTTTAGATTATTCGAATTTTCCGAATTTTCTAACCATACTTACAATTGCCTCAAACGATGAAGTTCATGACAATGAGTGTTTAAGGTATGTGTACGCTCAAATTTCTCATCATACAAACGCAAATATGAATGTCGGGGAAAAATGGAACGCTTTTCAGTTATGGAGTTGGGAGTAATAACTTCATTGGCATCAAATATTTCCCACTTATTGTCGTTGACATCAATATGTAATTCAATGTATTTACGTTGTTTACTTAACAGTCTGTAATAAATTAAATAAATTTAAATAAACATTTACACTGTTCTAGAATCTGCAAACGTTTTGCTATCGAGAAAATAAAAACTAATACAAGCAGGTTCCGGAAGAAATCATTAATAATAACAAAGTATGAGCTGTATTACCTTAAAATGAGATTTCGAATATTCTTTGTCATTTCTTGCAATTCTTTGGGATGAATACCAGCCTCTGCTTGTTGCGGTTCTGTGTAGAGTATATTGTCCATTGATGATCGTATCTGATTGATCTAGATTGCATAAAAAGAGTACATACTAGCTTTAAATATATCACGTAAATAAGATTTTTTAAGCATTTACCAATTCAATATCATCTGGCAGTATATCAACATCCAAATTGAGAACAATATCATGTTCAGCGTACAATGGTTCTTGGGTTTTCTCTTTATATCCCAGTCCCCCAAGGAGTGCAACAAATTTTGTACGCGTTTTATTACATTTGATTTGCATCGTTGGACAAAATAACATGGTCATAAGAGCTCCAAACCCATGAATATTTGGCATTCTAGTTGTACTTCTGATCAACAGAGACTCTCCGTTTGAAGTTTCATTAATTTCTGAGGCCACAATTAAACGTTCATACATATCGAACGGATCACTATCAATTTTATCATAATTTACTGAATCCCGATCGATTTGCACCGATTTCCAGGTACCAATACGTATGGCTGAATAAACATTACTTTCAAGCGGGCTAAATGGTCCACGCAGCCGCATAACGTTTCTACACAATTCCCTGGGTGGAGGTTCAGTATCCATATCGATCTCGGGACGAATAGACCGCAAATATTCTTCATTTTGCCTCGAGTGATCATCTTCGAAGAAACGATTCGCCACCGATTGTTTGCGTATGCGGAAATCGTGGTCAGTCTAAAGGGAGGGATTTTAGGTTTAATAAGTATAGAAATATATATGTATTTTACCTTTGACATATAACATTCATCAGCACTGCGAGCCAATCCCTTTTCCACAAGTATATTATTAATAGTACTGCCATCTTTTTTGATAAGTACATTCGAAATGCCATCCACCACGGAGAAAACCTCAATTTCTACAATTCCCAAATCAGCATGAGATTGCATATATTCCATGGCTTCATCGGTCCATTTGTTGTTAGGTGATTTCAATGCGGATGGCTCTACCAAAGCCAAACGACACTCAAACAATCGAGGCGGTATGTCGGATAAATATTTACAAGTCTCTGATAGGTAACGTAATTCCTTGAAATCCACAATTGCCGCATTGCCATAGTCTATGAAGAATACCTGTAATAAAATGAATGCTTTAAACTTGGACAGGAATGACTAAAAAGTCCCATAAATATTGTTGGAAGAGTTCTATAAATTTGAAATAATTATGGGATTGAAATAGGATAACAGAAACATACATAAGCTATGCCCATATCTAAATCGATTTGCTTCAATATATAGCGACCAGTAGGATGACAAGTTTACCTTGAACTCTGTTTTATGTCTTGACTGATTAGCCAGTTTTATAACTTTGGCCCGGTGATATTTGCCATCGAATGGAGCTGCCAATATTATGCCTTTTGCTACAGCCCCGGGATGGGGAAATCTACAGTTTTCATGTTTATTGGCCTCATCCAGCATTTCTTGTATTTCATTGATACGTTCAGTTTCCGACAGAGGTTGGAAATAGAATTTACTACAAGTTTCAATCTGTATGAAATTATCAAATATTAAATTGAAAAAAATACTGAGTATAGCAAACACATACATGAGTAATGTAGCCACTAATATTTTTTTGGAAAACCGATGGCAACACCACCAGCTCGGCATTGACCAAAAGTCGTTTTGTTGGTTTCCAAGCGCCATCAATCATGGCGCCCAAGCCATGATCTTCCGCATATTTTATGCCGGCACGAGATCTGGAATTGAATTTTATTAATAAGGACATATATAGCATTAATGCTTTCTCTTAGATGATCACAGACTTTTTTTGGATTTTTTTTTTCAAAAATAAAATTTATTTTACTCAAAAATCCAAATCAATACGATAAAAATATCACCAACATCCAAACTTACTCCATAACATTAATAGCATGTGGCACATTTAAAGAACGCATTTTGATCGCTTTATAAACTTCAGCACACACTGATCCTGGAGTTTTTATTGCCTCCGCGTTATCATCCTCCGTATCTTCTTTGAATGTCACCAATACTCTTTCACAATTAGCTTTAAAACTAACATCAATATTCTTCGGATTCATATCGGTTGCTTTGAATAATTCCTTTATAGAACGTGCATACAACTGACCAATGTGACGTGTATCGAAATTTGTAAAATAAACGGTACGATTTGGATTTTGACCACATAATATATGGAAATCGGTACGTTCTTTGTCGGGATTTTGTAATTTCGTATAAACGAAATAATTAGGATAAAACGCCCCAGCTATAATTACTTTAAGTATTATTGACTTTTCCCAATCCTCGCATTGCTGCCGATCGGAATGACGAATTTTTATACCAAATGATTTTAAGCGTTGTTTTAATTCCTCGACAAGTAGATGCATTTCACGTATTGAACGTAAATTTATAAATTTACGATTTGCCCATATATGCTGCACATCGTCATTCTCAGGATCCAATGTGAGCCATTCCTGGGTAAGTAGAAAAGTTAATAGGATGATAACATTATAAAAGGCAAACTTACTCTGTAAGCATTTAAAATTGCCACCAGATCAGACCCGGAACCATCAGTCCATTTTAGTTTTTGTATATAGGCTTTAATCTCACCAATTTGTCTATATTGGCCAAGCTTGAAAATTGAACGAACACTTAGACCGGCAGCTAAAAAGGAAGAACATAAAAATGAAAATAGTAATTGTTGGGAAAAATAACAAATACAATAAAAGTTTTTACTACGATATCTGATTTTCCCCTTATGTGGGTTCTGGAACAGGGCAAGTCTATCCCCAAGGGTGATCTAATTTAACAAACTTTCAAACTCTACCACACGCTATGATAACCTCAATCAATAGAATCCAGAGAATTTTTTGATTGAGATTTGGTTTAAATTCATTGGTATAAGACTTATCTTTAAATTTTTTGTGAAATGGAGGAAAATTGGACGGAGTCAAGGACTTTAGAACTCTCTTAAGAAATTCATTATTGCTGTCTGTGGAAAAAGTAGCTAAAAGAGAGCATCATTACAGGGTGAGATAAAAAAACTGCAACAAAGTCAAACGCCATAATTTTTACATTTTTTTTAATATTATTGAATGAAAGCAAAAAATGTCGGAAATAGCATCAAGTATTAGAACGAGTTATGGCCTTCAAACGGCCAATGAAAAGTTCACACGCTGTCCGAATGTTGCTCTGCGGCATTTTGGCCCATTCGACAGTTTGGTATATATAATGCCAGACTTACTTTCCAAGATACTTCAGACACAATAGTCCAACGGATTGGTATCCGGACATTTTGGTGGCCATTGCGCGCTGGAAATGAAGCGAGGAACCTCATTTTGTAATCATTCTTGGATGGGGTGCGATGCATTTATTCTGATGCCACGGTCGATTAATACGAGCGGAGAACGACCATCGGCTGTTATTGCGGCCCACACCATCACCATGGCACGCGCTTGAGTTCCGGTGGCCAACCGATGGTGCACATTTTCAGCTGACCTCTTTGACATGCAAACACGATCACTTTGTTTGTTTACAAACTGCTGGACAACGAATGTTTTCCCATCGGAGAAAACCTAATTCGGCAGTTCACCACTTTCGGTCAAGCTAAGCAACTCTTAAGCTCTTTTGAGTCTATTTTCTTTCTATTGCGGTGTAAGAACACTTTTTGGAATTTCAATGGATTTACCCCGAGCTCATTTTTCAACATTTGCCGAAAAAAATATTGCGAAAAATAGGCCACTGCGACGTGGGTTTCGATCAAGTCGCTTCTTTACTTTTCGAACCATTTCTGCTGATGTTGCTGTTTTCTTCCGTCCACTTCCTTGACGTCAGGCTACGCTACCAGTATCACGGTAACGGGCGATGGTACGAGACACAAAAGATTTATTCACATTTAAATGCTGGAGGGCTCTAACGATAGCCGCTTGTGGTTTTCCAGCCAAATATAAAGAAATCATACTGTCACGCTTGAATTCCATCACGAATAATTTTTTATCTGGAAAATTTTCACCAAAAGTCTTTTGTACGCTTGTAAACAATATAATGAGCTGTCACTGGAATAATTTTAACAGCCGTCGGACGAGTGGCTTAAAAAAGACAGCAATCTGAATTTGGTTGCAGTTTTTTCATCTCGCCCTGTATAGTCCCTACTCAAACTTATTATACGTCTGCTATAAATAAACCTCTAAAAGAATTTTGGAACAAGTCTAATAGTTTTTTGTTTAACTGAAATACATAGCTGTGAAATAAGATGTGGAAACTTTGTGGATCAAAACTTGGTCGATTTACTATAACTTTAAACTTGTTTTTGAAAGTGCAACAGTTAGCAAGATTAGTAGAAAGAGGTCTGAATCCATGTTTTCGAGGTAGAATATTTTTTTTATAAATTACATTATTTTGATTTAAACATAAAGGAATTACTTCCTATTCGATCAAGAATAGCTTTATCATTTAAAGTAATCAGCGTAAGATCTATCCTTACCAATAATGATTGTTTCTTCCAAAGAACCAAACATATATCCAAATACTATGAGACGTGACAGCTTGACATCCAATGGTAAATGGGCCATTAGACGTCCAATAAACGATAAATCACCATCATCTGATACATATACACCATCAATGTATTTATATAGAGCACCAATTTCCTTCAATGTGACTATTGTATTTTGTATATCACTTAGGTTCGGAGGGTTCATAGCTAAATTTAGAACTGTAGGCGGTGAGCCCATTTCCAGTAGTTTTGCTTTCAACACAACATTCTCAAGGGGACATCGCAGCATTTCAGGGACACTAAAGTCTTCTAAATAGTTCTGAAAATAAATGCATAATATTTTGTTAATTAAATGAAATTAATAAAAAATGGTATCGGTCTAACAAATATATTATTAAATCAATACATAAAATGTGAAATAATTTTTGTGTTTTTTTTTTTTTTCATCCTTCTACTTATTTATTTATTTATTTATTTCTATTCTATGGATAAAATTGCGTTCTTTTGTAACATTAGGTTATAATATATTAATGTTATACCGAATGGAAATAAACACATGTATTATATAATATATATAATAAAATATAAATATTTCACATACATATATTTTCTAATTAAAGTAATGGCTTTAACCATTTATTTTGAAAATGTTCATTTCAATATGCGAATTCATCAAAATCATACAGAATTGTTTAATTATTTTACCTGATAAAATTTTCGTGGCACCAATCGATACACCCTGCCATTCATTACACGTCCAGCCCGACCAGCACGCTGACGACAATTTGCCTTGGAAGCCCAGTGCAATTGTAAGGTGGTAAAATTTGTTGAACTATCTGTGACTAAAATCTTCGTCAAACAAAAATCAATAACTGAAAATATCAAAATCAATTTTTAAATTTAACTTTACATTTAGAAAAAAAAAAAAGAATGTTGCCCTACCATATTTAACATCTGGAACTGTTATGGAACTTTCAGCAATGTTTGTAGCCAAAATCACTTTACGATAACCGGTTGGAGGTCTGTGAAATACTCTAACTTGTTCTTCTGGCGATACAACGGAATGTAAACGTATGCAGCATAATTTCACTTTATCTCTGGAATCGAAATATGTATACGACTGAAGGAAACTTCAATTTTTGTTGATCTACAAATTACCTTTCCGCCTGACATAGCAATTGTATCTTCCTTAACATTTGCTCGATCTCATTTATGCCTGGTAGAAATATTAAAATTGATGTTTTGCTTGTCGCATCAGTAATATCCGGATTGAGAGAAGCCTCCTGTTTTTCAATATTATCAATTATAACAATCAACTTTAACGCCAAATGAAACATCTCCGTTGAAATACCAGGTTCGGCCAGATCCACTTGTACGTTCTAAAACATATATAATTATTATTAAAATATTAGCAACTTAATTTTTTATACTGATATTTTCACTCACATGATTATTCAAATCATCTAAATCGCTCAAATAATATTCTTTTACTTGAAATAGACGACGCGAATCGGCACGTACCACAGGTGCGGGATTTTTTCTAATAGTAAAATAATGGGCAAACTAAAAGAAACAAAACAAACAATTTCTTGTATACTTTTAAGAATCCGCCAAAATTTACCTCCGTAGTATCCATTGTTGCCGACATAAGTATAACCTTAACATGTCGTGAATTTGTCAGCAAAAGCCTTCTCACTACAATTAGTAAAAAATCCATTTCTTGATCCCGTTCATGCACTTCGTCCAATATTATATGGGTATACGGTGTTAGGGTCTTTTCTCTTATGAGTTTTTGCAACAGAACACCCGTGGTGCAATATAGCAAGCGCGTGTAATCACTTAAGCTGGCGTGAAGGCCAACCTTGAATTAAGTTGTGAATATTTATTTTCATTTAATACGCAAGATTTCGGTTTTTTAGACATACCTTATATCCTACCACAGTCCCATCCTGCCACTTGCGTTCATTACAAACCCGCTTTGCTATCGATATTGCCGCTATTCGTCGTGGTTGAGTACAAACAATTTTACAATATTCACGTCGTCGATAGGCATCATCTAGTATGTATTGGGGCACCTAGGATAAGAAATTAAATCAGAGAATTTTTTATTCAAAAAATATTTAAATATTATCGTCATTGATCGATGAAACAAATGTAAAGGGCATAGAAGATATTCCACTTGGATCCTTCCGATATATTCCACCGCTCTTAAAAGAGTAAGAGATAGATTTAGAGAACTGCCGTTTAAGATTGCATTCACATAAGACATTGACTGATTTTATATCAAGCGTTTGAGTAGCGAAGCCCACTTTATTTGGGTGATATGTCAAAACGCCATTTCCAGTGAACATTTTTTACACGAGGTGATGCACTTTATTTTTTCAGGAACTATGCTATATCTTCCTTATTATTATCCTTATATATTTTAGTTAAATCCAAACTTTAATAAGAATGAGAGCAACAATGCTATTATCGTTCATAATAAACTTATAAAATCCTGCTCGTCTAACACTTTTCCTAAATTAAATAAAATAACTGAAGTATTGTAGAGGATCTTAGCCCCTGACTAGAAGTAGCAGTATTTCTCAGATAATGGCCATCTCCGATTATGTCGGCTAAAAATTACCGACATGAAACAATCCCGCATATACAGGGTGATATGAAAAAACTGCAACCAATTTCTAACTGTTGTTATTTTAAAGCCACTGGTCCGACAGCTGTTAAAGTTATTCCAGTGACAGCGCATTATACTATTTACAAGCGTACAAAAGTATTTTGGAGAGATTTTCCAGAAAAAAAGTTATTCACGATGGAATTCAAGCGTGATAGTGCGATTTCTTTATATTTGGCTGGAAAATCACAAGTGACTATCGTTAGAGCACTCCAGCATTTAAATTTGAATCAATCTTTTGTGTCTCGTACCATCGCTCGTTACCGTAATACTGCCAAAGAGGTCAACTGAAAATGTTCACCTTCGGTTGAGCACCAGAACTCAAGCGCCGGACATGGTGATGGTGTGGGCCGCCATAGCATCCGATGGTCGCTCTACGCTCGTATTAATCGAGCGTGGCATCAGAATAAATGCCGAATATTATCGCGAAAATATTCTGGAGTGTGTATTAAAGCAAACATTTTGGGCGCAGACCTTGGACATTCCAACAGAACACAGAAACATCGCACTCAGCACGCGCTACCCAAGAATGGTTACAAAATGAGGATCCTCGCTTCATTTCCAGCGCAGAGCATCATTCGGACAGCGTGTGACAGTTTCATTGGCCTTTTGAAGGCCATAATTCGTGCCAAAGGTGACGAATTCGAATAAATCTAAATTTATTCTAAAATTTGATGCTATTTCCCATGGATCAATCAGAAAGTTTGCTCAACTTCAAGAAACTAGGAAAAATGTACCGGAGTCTTATAGTGTCAAATAGACTTTTAAATATGCAACAATTGGTTTTGTTTATTTTACAATTTCTAAAAATGCTTAGATTGGGGAAAAAACACAAAACATGAATAGAATCTTGGATTTATTCCCTAAAATTAAATGTGAAATAGTAAGTCAATACTGTTTTGTCCAAAATTTTTAAATTTTATTGTCCATTAACACAGAAAAAATGCATTTCTCCTGTAGCTGAATTTGAAATAATTTAAAATTATTAAATTTTTTATTCAAAACAAAAAAGGGGCACCAAAAGACCAAAATTTTATTTAGGGGGTAGCTTTGTTCTACCTTTGGTGATAGTACCATGCTATTTCCAACAATTTTTGCTTTCATTCAAAAAAAAATGTAAAACTTATGGCGTTTGACTTTGTTGTTATTTTTGTATCTCACCCTGTATATGTATTTTATTTTAAATTTCTATCTAATCTTTTTTAAATAAAATTCTGTTTTTAACGTGAAGAGCAGTGATGTTTCCAGAACCCTCTTCACGGAATTTTTCGGTCTTCTAAAGCCCTTTATAACGAATGTTTCGATATTCTAGAACCCTTTGGACAGAAATTTTCGGTCTTCTAGAATCCTTTTAGTTATTTGCATTATAAACAAAATCGCTTCTGGTCATGGCTCCTAATGCCTGATACGCTTTCTCCTCTATGGAGAAAGCTTAATAGCAAAGAGCTACCTGTGTATATATATACCACAAAACATGGAGTGTGCATTGTACAAAGACTGTCACGCTTTAATAGAGGAATTCACCAACAATGGTTCAGTCGATTTCCCTAGTTTCAGCTCCATATGGAAAAAGCAAATGTTCCAGTATATTTATGCTATGCAATCGTCGGTAATTGAAATCATACTAACAACGAACACAATTATGCACATGGCCAAAAGATCCATTTGTGCAAAAGATGAATTCGGTAAATATCTATCGAGTACTGAGGGAAATGAACAGCGGAATCTTCTGAGACGCATTGGAGGTGTGTACCTCATGTATGCCATATATTTTAAACAACCAACAAAACAGTTTGTCAAGGTATCGGTCAGCTTGGAAACTTGGCGTGAAATTGTGTCCTTCATTGAATCATTAGATTGTCGACCAGAATTGGATCAAGTCCGCTATATATTTTGGCGCCTATATCAAGCAGATGCATTTCGTTTCACGGCCATGGATTACTATGTCGGCCCCGAGTTGGTCGATTATGATAAAATTACCGAAGAGCACAATGAGGCGGAACAACATACGGAGGTAATAAGAGTCAATGCAAAGGATAAACTACTTTTGGTACCAGAAATTCAAGAGAATCTAAAAGAAATGACAGCCCAAGAGGAAGAATATAACCAACTCAAAAAGGCAATAGGAAAGGGCCAAAATCAATCTGCCGCCACCTTACCTCGTACAGAAGTATTTAAAAACATAAATTCCGCATTTAGTAAAATCAAAGATATTCTCGATGGAAAATCAAATGAATTTTCAGAGATATATGGTGGCAAAAGTATAAGTACACGGCGTAAGGATTTGAAACGAAAAGCTGCCGGACGGGTTAACTACAAAGAGAAAAAATCAAATAATTCTACTAATGAATCATCGTCATCGGAGATAGATGATGATAATGATGACGAAGATGATGATCAGAACGTACAATGGTATCAATCACAAGCTAAAGGACGTTGCCGTCACAGTTACAAAGTCGCGTCAAAAAGTATGAACGAGAAAAATGCATTATTATCAAACGAATCCGATGATAGTTCAACAGATAATTCATCACCAGATGAAGAAGCATTGCAGGAAGATAATAACAATGAATCTGATGCCGAGGCGACTGATGTTGATTCTGTTGGCGCAAGTACATCCAAGAGTTTAGCCGAAGATTGTAATTTGATGGGAGCTATTAAAAAAGAATCAAAGTAATAAACTTTAAAGAAACTGTACGCCTACACTTTGATTTTTTAAGTTTGATTTTTAATACCGTCAATCTTGAAAATGTTTAGACCAAACCTGTAGTTCTCAATTTCGGGTTATGGATGTCGTATTAAAAAACCTATCCAACAAGTGGTATCAAGGGGTTATTTAAACCGGTTCGGTAGTAATATATAAAAAAAATTGTGTACCAAAATATATTCCAAATTATTTTTAGAAATTATAATCTAAAATTACATTACATTACAATTACACGTGCTAGAATCGGCCTAGAGGAGAAAATCCCAAGACCCAGCCGAAAAATTATACTAAATTTTAGAGAAATATAAATTTAGTAATTAGAAAACGATGTTCACTAGTTAATATATTCGAATACAGGAGCGATAACAAATACTCTTGCAAATAAAAAAAAGTCGGTCTCAGATATAATTTGGCAAATATATTGTGAACACAATAGTTACTATTTTCGATTTTTTATATATCTGAATTGCTTGAAACACGAAATTTCGGGTGAAATATAGGAATGTGCGGCTCCGTCGCAAACAAGCAACTTTCCCGAAATTAGTGTAAAAATACCAAACTCTGGATAAAAGATGAATACAAGTCATAGAGTTTTTCTTACGTAGAATTGGTGAAAAATTTTAATAAAATGATTCCATAAGCTCCGACTGCTTCGAGGTTTTTTATGATGCATATTCTGCTAATTGGACCCTACCAAGGCGGAATGGAACACAGCGAATGTATACATAAAACCGATAACAGAATCCCCATTTTTGTTATCGATAACACAACTAAATAGCATTATACGCCAAAAGATACACAAAACACATCAGGGAATAACAAAATACTAAAATTATACTAAATAAATATAATTGTTGAAAATACATCACAAATACAGTCCAATCATGGTAAAAAATCAAGCAAAAGAAACTGGTTTCGTGGTGGAGAAAATTATGGATAAGCGCATAACGCCAGAAGGTAAAGTCGAGTACTTTATCAAGTGGCGCGGCTATCCAAATTCGGACAATACATGGGAGCCTGAAGAGAACTGTGATTGCCCCTCAATCATACAAAAATTTGAGGAATCTCGGGCCAAGTCCAAAAAACGGGGCGAAAAGAAACCCAAAATGGAAGAAATACAAAAGCTGAGAGGCTATGATCGTGGTCTACCTATTGAACAGATTGTTGGTGCAACGGATGCCAACGGGCAAATTTCCTATTTGGTAAAGTGGCAATTTTGTGATGAATTCGATTTGGTATACGGCGAAGAGCTGAAGCAAAAGAATCCGGAATTCATTATAGATTTCTATGAGAAACGTTCCATATATCAGCGGAATATAAATGATCGTCTATTGGGTGTACCGGATGAGTTGAGAATATTAAATGCGGATGGTGGTCACCATATGAGTGTGAATATTAGTATTGCGGGAAACAGTTCAGTGGCAAAGCTGAGTAGTGATGTTCCAATGGCAGACGACCTAAACGAAAGTGGTGGCAGTTTAGATAGCAATGCCGTGTCTTATTCCATTCCAGTACCAGGAGTTGGTAATATTGCTATAGATGTACCCATGATGGATCCGAATGTATAAACATGAATTATAAATGTTAGATTATAAATTTGAGGATGCATGTATTCCTATAGCATCTTTTTTGAGGAAATAAATTTGTATTTACATTCTAATTGTTTAACTGTTTTATAGCCCACGTAAAAGTTTGGTAAAGAAGGGACGAGATAGATTTTTTCCGTCCGGCCAAATGTTTCATTTGTTTAGCTTAACGACGAAATCGATTGAAAGTCGCGAGATTGGATACCGCTGTCATATAATTTCCTTATTTTAGCACAGTATCGAATTGTCAATGCCAAAAGTTAGTCCGTAACCTCGGTTCGGACATGGCATTAACACTCATACATGTGTATGTAATATTCTCTCAGTATCAAAATAGTATGTAGCATTCGGTCTGAAAATACTTCTGCCCAATTTTGTAATTTTTGTTTTCAGATTTAGATACAGTCTATGATTTGAAGATACAACATGATTCATTATCACATAGATATGTTTTGTGATCATGCGGGAAAATTCTAGCTTCAATAAATGATGTTTGGTGGGAGAAATCAGATGCAGCTTAGAAATACCACTGCAAAGTTTGGAGAAAATCAATTCAGATAAAAAGATATAAATTTATGTTAAATGTGTTTTCAAATTCACACTTTTTTTCAAATAGATCAAAATTTTTTTGGTTAGTTATTTTTTATTCACTGATCCTTAACAATTAGCAGTAACAAATCACAGAACTTTTATTTCTCAATTTTGTCTATCCAAATTGAGTAGACCAAAAGCCTTGGTACGGAACAATTTGATAAAATGTCTTGCAGAATGTAATATATCTGGCATTATTATTATTTGGCCATCGGTTCGTTTTATTTTCCGTTGAACACCCAACTTATTAGCACAGGCTACCAATACTTCGGAAATATTATCACTTGGCTGTTCGAGTCCCACCAATGGCACATATTCAAAACATTTATTTTTATTTAACCAATACAGCAGATAATCGGCTATTAAGTCTTCACCAACTAAATGGTCCGGCAAACAGCCAACCAAAGCCAATTTCATACCCATTTCATCACTGCTAATCTTTGGTTCCAATATTCCGGGAGTATCTATCATATACATCAGTGGATCTTCGCTGATTTTAATTTTCTCCATAACAGAACGAGTTACGCCAGCTATGGCGCCCACTTGTGAAACGGCTTTCTTCTTCAAATGACGATTACGCAGTACATTAATCAATGAGCTTTTTCCCACATTTGGAACACCGATAATCATGACACAATAATCCCGTTCACCCTCCCGATTATAACGCCCGGAATTTCCAATTAGTTCATTCGCCAGTGGCATCAATTTCCGTATTCCAGCACATTGTTGATCTTTACAATTTGTAAAGATTACGTGATCCATACGCTCGCGATTTCGCAGGGCATCCTTAATATAACGTTGTTCCTTGGGTGTGATTAGATCTTTTTTATTTAGCACCAGGATGTGAGGTTTAACACCGCCAGCAATTGTCTGTTGAAATTCTGGATTCCGTCCGGAGAATGGTATTCGAGCATCGTGTACTTCCAATATGCAATCAACTGACTTGAGTTTTTGCTGCATTTGTTTGAGACCTTTGCCCATATGACCGGGAAACCAACGGATCGCTTGTTTTGTAATAAGTTTGTAACTTTCTCGAAAGCTCATAGTTTATTTAATAAATTCTTATTTTTATTAAAATATAATGATAATAGTGTGTAAATAGGCCCGGCTATTGAATAATTGTTTTTGTTTTCCTAAATCATATGTTTTGTGGTCATTTGTGTGTTTTCGATAGTACTTATCGAATAAGAACTACCCGCTCTAATCATTTTCAGAGATGTTGAAGACAATTTTTAAAATTTACCAAAGAATAGATACTACGGAGACACTTATTTAATGGATCAAAAAAGGGTCGACTAATAACATGTCTATGCCACTCTGCATAATTAGCATATATTTTCCTAACAATTGTAAGTCTGAATTTGGGATTTGTGCAAAGTAATCACACCAAGAATGATAGTTACTGAATGTGTATTTCTGGCTGTATATGATCTCTCGTACCAAATATGATTAACTTAAGATACAAAATTTCATTTTTTTCATTGGTTGTTGCATCATTAATGTCAACTTGTTAGGGAATTACGGTTTTGGAAATGCTTGGATATCAATTCGGATGGTATATATGTGGGAGTTGTAGCAATGTCCTGATCATTTTGATAAGTGTTAGTCTTTTTGCATTAACTGAATCCTGTGTGCATTAAAAGCATCTTGTGATACACAATGAATGAATGAATGAAAGAAACCAAACATATGTATTCGAACAGATGCAAATACATCCGAACCAATCAACTTGATGTAAATACTTTAAATTTCCTAGATCTCTAAGTAATTGTTCTATGGAAATCTTCCATGGTTTAAAGTTCACCATTAACTCAATAATAGCTTGATCTTGAACCATTTCATTTACATTAAAAATCTTTCTTCACTTATATTGATTTTCATCAGAGTACTGTCGTACGGTCGTATTATGAAACATCATCCTACCTGTGTCGTTTTTCCACAACCGGTATCTCCTTCAAGGATGACAACTGGATTTTTGCGTATTGTATCTAAGATTTCATCCCTTGCATCATGTATGGGTAACGATGCATCTCGTTCCAAATTAAACTTAAAACGATCGTAGACACCATCGTCAATATTCAAATATGGATTGCTTTGGTTTTCGTCGTAATCATCACAGAAAGTATCGCTGTCTTCGGGAAGTGAGGGTTTTGGTATCTTACATTCTTCTTTTTCCAACTAAAGTTATGAACATAAGAATTTGTTAAAAATGTTATTGGAGTAAATATTGCAAGTCAACATACTTTCGGCTGCTTCACTTTGTAACGACTTTCGGCATCTGGCTCACGTTTTAATTTTCGTGATGTAGATGCTACTGGCTCTAATTTCGGCTTGGGTACAGGCGCTGGAGCACTTACACGTTTAAAATCTTTGGAAATGTTAAAAAAATCCTCAATTTCATCCATTTTTTTGCGGCGAATATAAAATACCAAACATAAACAAATTATTTTATTTCTTATTCAATTATCGATAAAGCGATTCATGGTCGATGACAAATAAGCATCGAATGCACATTAAGTGCCAGGGCACACATCAACATAATAATCTAATTGGCATACAAATTTGTATGAATGGAAAATGAAAAAATTAAATTTACATGTAATATATTTGAATATGTACAGTAGGTTTTTAGTTATTTTGAAAAATGGATCGTTGTTAGAATTAAATTGTTGTTAGAATTAAAAGCAATCATGACTTAATTCACTGGTAGTTTTTTTAAATTTGCTTAACAAACATATACACTAGAATTTTGCCTGGCTTGGTAAAATTAAGAAGGTAAAGTCATTGTCAAAATTCACTGAATAAAAACAGCTTCCCATCTCAGATTTCTGTGTTTACAATAAATTTATAAATATAAATTTTGACAAAGAGAAGTTGTCAAATGAATAATTTTGAAAAAAAAAAAAATAAACATATAATTGCACGACTTTAACTTATTTATTCTACCATGACGCTAATAAATTATTTTGTTATTTTAACTTGCCAGCCAGACGATGATTAATGTCAGAATAAAACCACTTAGCAGAGATGTGTCACGTTTGAAGAAAATCGGACAGTTATTTCACACTGCACTGCAATTATTTTCATTCAAGATTTTGAACGTTTGTAGAGGAGGTATCAGAAGAAGAGCACCAATGTTTAGTCTGTTCCAGAACTACAAGAATTTGCAAATTTTTTTTCCACAATATGATATCGGAAAAATTGCAAAACTTGTAGATTCTTGCGGGTTCTTAAACAGAGCAATTGTCTATATTTGAACTAAATCTTGGTTTGATACAGAATAGTACAGTGTATACTCTGTTCGGATATCACTAGTGGTCTGTTCCAGAACTGTAAGAATTAAGAGTTTGCTAGGTAGATTATGGAACAAATCATAGATCGACTCAAAAGATAGCCTTTTTCCTTTGTTAAAAACTGAGTTTCTTCCAATAATCATGCATCTCTATTTTTAATGAACGATGGCATCCCTTAAAAATAATCCCGCTGCATTCAATGCTAATCCACATAACGGGTTAATCATGGCAAAAACAGCTTATTTGTTATCGATACCAAGGCTTTTATGCAAACAATCGTTTTATTGTGGTTTGTGTTTGACGCATTTTGAAAAGTTATTTTTTACGTTTGTTGGATGTTTCCAATATTAGTGGAAATATACAATAAATTAGGAATAAACTCAACAAAAAGTTAAAAATGCATCGTCTTCCCTTACAATTGCCCTTACCAACGGTAATGTGGGATCGAAATTTAAGCGAGTGTGTTCTCTTTGAAAAAACCTTGAATGTGAAAAATTTCGAGTAAGTCATACAAATGTCCCAATTTGGAATTTTAAATTGATGTGTACATCCATTTTCTAGGGAAACTCAAACTTTTATCAATATTTTAGATGAAGAGTCAAAATTTGATGAAAGGCAAAGGTATGGAATATCGGAAGATATGTTTTGGAAAGCCAAAAAATGTCTGCTAACATCACATCCCGTTGCCTTTGCTGAGGTAAAATTAAACAAAAAAACAGTATTCAGACTTTGTGATTAAGTTAATTTTTTGTTGTTCTTTTTGCTATAGGGCATGTTCCTGATCAATTCCATAATTCTACGTGCTCCCAAGGATAGTTTTGTCTTGGCTAGTGCTTTAAAGATAAGAGGTCAATTGTTTTACCATGAATGTAGTTTAGAGGTAAGTTTTTGCATGAAGCAATTTTAAAAAATTTAAAATTTGATCTCTGAAAATGTAAAATTCTCAAAAACATCAAAATGACATGTGAGCATAAAGGCGGGAAAACAGCTTAACATAAATGTTTTAGTGGAGCCAATGTCCTTTAGGGTCATGCGGAATTTTTTTCTTGATTACAAACATATAAAATTTGTTTCCTGAAAATATGTCGTTTTCAAGATATTATATAAAGTCTGTTTACAAATGTAAGTGTAGGGTTCAATAGATTGCTGTTGAAAATACCTATCCACCAAATCTATCTATGGTAAGATAACTGATCCTTTTTTTCTGTTAAACCATGATAATGTCCAAAAAGTTCATAATGGGATAAAATGCCGAATATAACTTACATTCTAAACATTTTTAAATGACGATATATTCAAGAATAACTTCTGTATTCAGAAATATTACTTTGAGGACCCTAAACCGTGTCAAGGAAGAAGCCTTTGGTTTCGGATTAAGAAATTTTTATGATAAGAATCTTAGTCAATGGTACAAATGCTCTATAGAATGCGCAAGGATATAGATCAATATACAACAATAGTTGGTTCAGTACAGGATGTGTTTTAATTTTACAACTATTTCCATAGTTGCCATATACCAATGTAACATATTTATGGCCTACATGCCATAAGAAAAATGATCTTTTTTATACCCTTCACCATGAATATATATTCCTGAATATATATTCCTGAAATCGTAGAGTTCCACATTGCGGAACATTAAAACGGTAGTGTACCACATGTTACCTGTTTACGATTTTTGAGAAAAATTATACGTTAGATGTTTTTGATCACGCAAAAAATTACTAATTCAATTCAATATTATGAAATAAAAGTTGAATTTTACAGTTGCGAAATTGAAGATAGTAGAAAAATATGAGAATAGGTAGCAAGAATAAAAAATGACCAAATCTGAAGTGATAATAATTTGTATTTAATCATTGAAAATTTAAATTCTAATCTTTCGCGAAAAAGGGTATTTTAGTGGTTGCGTTGTAATGGGTTATTATGCAGATAATTTACCTGCTATTGTGTGGTACCGAGAAATCAATGAATGTACGAGTAAAAAACTAAATATTTTACAAAGTATGGCTGATTTTTTGAAATCAGTTGTATAATATCGATTTTTTTAATGTGGTGCATGTGGTACACTATGATTTTTTAGTGTTCCGACTGCGACACACTACGATTTTTTCCGTTCCGGTACAGTATCACTAACATATTTTTTTAGTGATACTGTACCGGTACAGTACACTATGTTTGTGTACTGTTTATTTTCGAACGCTGTTGAAAGTTGAAGTAGGTTGATAAAATTGTACTCAAATGTATATTGTGTTTGCAAGACTTTTGGTATTGAAAATGGGCCATGTAGGTCCACGTTTTGGTATAGCCCCCATATAACGGTACTTCCCGATATTCGGTATTTTGATGATTTTAGCGATGTTATTCACCGGAATTGTTTCAAATTTGGTATACGTTCCAAACGGTGGATGATATTAAGAGCTTTTTTACTTGTTGGACACCCAAAATGTTGAAAAATTGTCCATAATGAGTTAATAGCAAATAAATGAATCTAACACCCTTCCAACATGATGCCAGCTAGATCAATACGTGTCCTGACTTCATTCCTGACTGCTTTATGGGTCGCCTAAAACTTTTCTCAAAAAGCAAAAATTTATAAAAACCTTGGCTGGTATCTGACATACATAGAAATTCAGTTTAGCATTAAATACTAGGCCAATTTTCTTGCCCTTTGGTAATTGGTTCAGTGAAATCAGCTGTAACCCGATATTTGTAGCCAAATTGTTGGGTCAAACATTTGATACCAAATTTTAAACAAATCTATTTTAAAATGTGTTTGTTGAAATACTTTGTAACGGGAAGACCCGTCATATGAGGACTATACTATAACATGCATGAACATTAACATATAACATGCATTTGTGGCTAAAATTATTTATCAAATATCGGGAGATTTTGTTACATAGAAGCTATACATATGTCCATTTTTCTATACCAGCCGTACTCATGGATTTCTTCGAATTTGGTAAAAAGTAAGTGCATCAAACGACTCGTTAAATAATTCATAACACCGAATATTTGTGGCTTTCTATTCCGATATTCATAAATGATTCGACATCCCTAATCAGCATCTGTTCAAAAGAACAATACCCATTTGAAATACAACTCTGCAAATCTGCGCCAGCTGTTTAATCTGGTACTTGCAAACCGGACGAAAGTGTAAACAAAAACTGTAGCATTTCGCATCTTTTAAGCTTGAGGTTTTTGCAAGCCAAAAAGAAAAAATCCCTGCAAAATGGATTACGATTTTAAGATGAAAACCCAAAAAGAGCGCACAAAAGTTGAAGATCTCTTCAACTATGAAGGCTGTAAGGTCGGACGTGGTACATACGGCCATGTCTACAAAGCCAAATGGAAAGAGACATCGGATGGCAAGGAATACGCCCTGAAACAAATTGATGGCACCGGTCTCTCAATGTCGGCATGCCGTGAAATTGCCTTGCTACGCGAATTAAAACATCAAAATGTAATCACCTTGATACGTGTCTTCTTGTCCCACACTGATCGTAAGGTGTTTCTGTTGATCGACTATGCCGAGCATGATTTATGGCATATCATTAAATTCCATCGAGCCGCCAAGGCAGCCAAGAAGCAAGTTGTCGTGCCAAGAGGTATGGTGAAAAGTTTGCTCTATCAAATATTCGATGGTATTCACTATTTGCACAGCAATTGGGTGCTGCATCGGGATTTGAAACCGGCTAATATTTTGGTCATGGGTGATGGTCCCGAAAGAGGCCGGGTGAAAATTGCAGATATGGGATTTGCACGACTTTTCAATGCTCCCCTGAAACCGTTGGCCGATTTGGATCCAGTGGTAGTAACATTCTGGTATCGTGCTCCAGAGCTCTTGCTGGGCGCGAGACATTATACCAAGGCCATTGATATCTGGGCTATTGGTTGTATCTTTGCAGAATTGTTAACATCTGAACCAATATTCCATTGTCGCCAAGAGGACATAAAGACCAGCAATCCCTATCATCACGATCAATTGGATCGCATATTCAATGTTATGGGTTTCCCCCAGGATAAAGATTGGGAAGATATCAAGAAAATGCCCGAACATCATACGCTGACCAAAGATTTTAAACGTTCCTCCTATTCCACTTGTTCCTTGGCAAAATATATGGATCGTCATAAAATAAAACCAGATAGCAAGGCATTTCATCTTCTACAGAAATTGTTGCTAATGGATCCCAATAAGCGCATAACATCGGAACAGGCGATGCAAGATGCATATTTCCAAGAGGAACCATTGCCCACACAAGATGTCTTTGCTGGATGTCCGATACCATATCCTAAAAGAGAATTTTTAACAGATGATGATCAGGAGGATAAATCGGATACGAAACGCCAACAGCAACAAGCTGCGGCCCAACAACAACAACAGCAGCAGCAACAACAGGCCCAACAGCAGCAGCAGCAATCACAACTGCAAGCCCAAGCTCAGGCTCAGCAACAACAACAACAGCAGCAGGCTCAACAGCAGCAGCAACAACAACAGCAACATAGTCATGAACCCAATTCCAAGAGAGTGCGTCTTTCGGGTCCCGGCGGTGGTCCACAACCCAATCAACAGGTACATCCGGGACAACAACAGCAACAGGATTTCCATCAACAACAAGTTGCAGCTGCTGCAGCCGCTCAACAGCAACAACAACAGCAGCAACAGGTGCAGGCGCAGCAGATGATGTTCAATCAGCAACAACAGAATTTCCAGCAACGTTTTTAATTTGTAGTTTATTCTTTTTCTACTATATTGCATAGGTATTACACTATTACTTTTGTACTTCATTATAACTATTTTAAAAATTTCGAATGCATTTGCACGTAAACAAGTTTGTGCATACATATTATCATATCAAGCTATCATACCAACTATCTGGGAATACAAATTTGTTTAAAGCTTCTTTAAAATATATTTTTAATACATGTCAAAGCCAATAAATGTTCGAACACTTGATATGAATTGTGTGTGCAGCGTGCTTAGTTTAGTTTGTAAGTAATAAAAACTCTATCTACCGAAAGGAGCAAAAATAAATGAAAAATACTTAGTATTCAGTATTCCAAAAACTTTTGATTTTTATTTTTAATACACACAGGGTGAGATGAAAAAACTGCAACCAACTTCAGACTGCTGTTCTAAGCCACTCGTCCGACAGCTGTTAAAATTATTCCAGTGACAGCTCATTATATTGTTTACAAGCGTACAAAAGAATTTTGGTGAGAATTTTCCAGAAAAAAAGCTATTTGTGTTGGAATTCAAGCGTGATAGTGTGATTTCTTTATACTTAGCTGGAAAACCACCTTCGGTTGGCCAACAGAACTCACCGGCCATAGTGATGGTGTGGGCTCCATAACAGCCGATGGTTGCTTTCCGCTCGTATTAATCGAACGTGGCATCAGAATAAATGTCGAATATTATCGCGAAAATATTCTTATTAAAGCCTTGGGCCGCAAACATTTTGGCCGCAGACCTTGGACATTCCAACAGGACTCAACACCATCGCACTCAGCACGCGCCACCCAAGAATGGTTATAAAATCTCCGGATACCAATCCGTTGGACTATTCTGTTTGGAGTATTTAGGAAAACAAGGTTAGCACTAAAAAATACCAAAGTATCGACCACCTCAAGTTAACACTTCGCGGGGAATGGGTCAAAGTACCGCAGATCAACATTTGGGCAGCGTGTGACGTTACAAATGTGACCAATTCAAAAAAATCTAAACTTATTAAAATTTGATGATATAGCCATAGGTCCCACTTAGCTCCTATATATATCTTCACCCGATTTCACGCTTATTGTGCCTAAAAAGTGTAATATCAGCTCAAATGGGATGGATTTTGATGAATATCGGCTGAGACACAAATTTCTACGTCAAATTTAGTAGAAAACGAAAGAAGCCTGCCATATATTAGTTCCTTTTGGCTTTAAATTATAACTGCTTAAAATTCATGATACGCATTCCGACCGTATGTTTGGTATGTTTTAATTCTCCTAAATTCCCCATAAAACGTTTTTTTTGTTATATGTAGCTCTACTATATATGCAAAGTGGGTGGGGTAGGTTATCATAATGTCGGCCCAGCCCGCCTTGGGCCTTTCTTTACTAGTTTTAATTTAAATACAATGATCATATGCTGAAATTCTTTACATTTTTCATATCACAAAATATAATATATTGAAATTAACATTTTTCAGTGTGCATCGAAAGACTACGAAATGTTTTTGCATGTTCGTCAATTTGCCACAGTTGCTGACGAAGATGTCTGTGAAGTGTTGGGACACCTTATTATTTGCATGTATATGATGGGTCAATACGCAAAGGCTAAAAATTACACCGATCAATACAAGAAAGTTAAAGGTAAAAATACAAATTTCTAATTGAAATGTACAATTACAAAATAAAAATTATTTTTTTTTTAGCTAAACTATCAATTAACTCTTTGCAAAGGAACTGTTTTGGTAAGGAATAAACTCATGCTTATATTTCGTTGCATATTAATGCTTTTTTCATTTCAGTACAAATTGAAAAACAACTTACAAATTTCAAACATGAACTGATAGAGGCATGTAATTCACTACCACACTCCATTACAGATACGGACCGGATAAATCCATTTAAGAAGTGCAGTGAAAATGGGTAGGTTAAAGTTACTTAAAATTAGTATTTCAAGGTCATAAAAATTGACTTAAAACATCTTCAAATATAACCTTTTTTCTTAAATGCTAAAAATATCAAATGATTGAATCTTTAAATTTATAAGTTTTGCTGCCGCTATTTTGAGTGATGGAACCAATCTATAGTTTTAAAAGCTAAATTAAGAGTAAACTTTTTGATAAGGAAAAATTCCCTTATTCAAAATCCCAAATCATTTCACTATAAAACTTTACAGTTCTTCCAGAAAAAAATCTTTAAGTAATTCTTCTATACTTTCAATTTCACGAACTTTTTTATAGTATTAAGTTTGTCATTTCTCACACCTCGAAATATGCATTTTATACCCCACAATGAATATATATTCTTGATCAGCATAAAATTTTATGACGATTTAGCTATGTCCGTCCGTCTATCCGTTTGTGGAAATAATTCTAGCTTCCGAACAAAATGAAGTAGGTTGATAAAATTGTACTCAAATATATATTATGTCTGCAGGACTTTTTGTATTTAAAATGGACCATGTAGGTCCACGTTTTGGTATAGCTCCCTTATAACGGCACGTCCCGATAATTCGGTACTTTGATGATCTTAGCGACATTATTTACCGGAATGGTTTAAAATTTGGTATTTTTTTAGACCAAACTGAAAATATTTGACAGTGAAACAAAGCACGAAAGGTTTGTGAGCTGCTTAAACCAGTTTTGTTAAAAATATAATAGCTAAAAATCATCCTTTATAACTACATTAAAGATGGTCCACAGCCAACACGTCGAAATATTTGTCGAAGACCCCATTAAGTATATATTCAAGATCAGCGTGTAATTCCATGTCAATCTAGCCATGCCCGTCTGTATGGCTGCCTGTTAAGCTAATAAATTATTAAAGAAGGTGAACTTTTTAGTATAAGATAACGAAACCTCCAAGTTTTAGGTATTTCGTGTGTATTCAAAATTTGGCCCGGTCGTTTTTACTTGTTTATATAATTTTATTCAAATGCCAAACTTTTGATTCTTTTTAGAAAATTTATAATTTTCATCGATTTTTTAATAACGTATTCTTTTTTAGAAATGCCGTCATGAAAGCTGATAATGACTTCAAACGTGGTGAGATTATCTTTCTCGAAAATCCTAGATATCAATCGATTAAAGCTCCTTTTGTGCGCTGCGAAATATGCTATCGTTTGTGTAAACAACAAATATACACCTGTCTGGATTGTCATTACAAAACCTACTGTTCACTGCCATGTATGGAAAAGAATCGAGTAGAACATGAAATTGAATGTTTGGGCTATAAACAATTGACATTGTTAATTTTGGATGCAGGCTTATTATTCCGTATTTTTGTACAGATTTCAAAAGTATTGGATAAGTGCATGTTCAAGAGAAAAGCCTATCGTAAACTTAGCACAGCATCGGATATTTGGTCGCATTTGTTGGAATATTTAAATCAAAAACATTTCAATGACGAGAATAGCGCCTCTATGTCGTTATTGGCAAGGAAACCTCACTATGACCTCTTAAGCGAAATACAATATTCAACATTGGTGACGACGGCCTTTCGTTTGACCATATTCATCGACACCAAGACAAATTTGATAGAAACCTATTATCAACGTTTGAAAATTTCCCGTAAACAAAAATTAATTATTATTGGTTCTTTGTTGATGCGTTTGCATTGTAATCTATTACTGAACACATTCGATTTTGAAATAAATGATTTCGATATGCAGCTGCAAGGCCTTGCAAGCAACACTGAGCAATTCAAAAATTCGGTGGTCTCAACGAACAGCCAAGAAGAACATTTTCTAAAAAAGGATCTTATGGAACATTATCAAGTTGATATGAATAAAGAAATATGGCTGAGTTCCCTGCAGCTCTTTGAATCGATAGAAAGTGCAAAAGAATTAACTTCCATCATCTTAACACCAACGGATTCCAAACGCCGGTCTAATCGTCTATATTCAATGCTTAGTATCTATAAAGATCACATAACTGAGCTATATTTCAATCCAGAATTAATAAATAAGGTTATATATGGTCAACAAGCCGAGGAACCATTGACAACCGAAGCAGCCAAAACATTATGCTCTCGCCTTGCCCAAATGACTGATATGAAACGTTATCATTGTGTTAAGAAATTCGCCCGTCTATTTCACAATCATTATACAGAATATTTTATGCAATTGTCGGAGCGCAATAGAAGTCTTCATCAGTTAATTAGCATATATTCACCAATTATAAAACAAGTTGCGTATTCCTGTCAACCAAATGTGGAAATAATGTAGGTTCTTTAGCATTTTTGTAAAGTTTTTATAAAAAAAATAATTTTTGTTATTTTTTTCTTTTATACAGAGTAATGGATAATGGTGTAATTATTGGAAAATCTTTGAAACCCATCGCAAAGGGAGAACAACTTTATGTTTCATACAATTCGAATGTTATGTATTGTTCACGTTCTGAGAAGCAACGTTTCCTTCAACAATTGGGCACAGTTACTTGTCATTGTGAATATTGCACAACGAATGTGCCAGATCCTATTGTAAGTAATCCAACTTTTTATATTGAAACTATACCTGATATGAAAAATAATTGATATGATCGGACAAGGTACATTTTAAACCGGAAATTTAATAAATTATTTATTTCTCATTTCAGATACTTCGCAGTATAATCTATTGTGACAAATGTAATGGGATAGAAATAACGCCCGAACTTCAAGTGTGTTCCCATTGTAACACACAATATAATGCTTTGTTATCTAAATACCGCACGAGAATACGTATTCTAGAAGATGAATTAGATCGTAAATTTAAATCATCTCTCGATTCGAGTGAGATAAGTGAACGTGATTTTTATATATTACATCAGGCAATATATTTGCATTCCCAGAAATATTTTGGTGCTCAAAATGAATATCGCATTAATATCGAGTTGAAACACGCCCGTTATTTGGCATCCAAAAGTAAGTAGAAACTATGAAGTACCAGAAATGTGTCATATATTAAAAACTAACTGGCCCGGTCCGCGTTGCCGGTCCGTAGTTTTTGTCTATTATGCATATTTGTCAAAGTATAATGATATGACTGATATAAGTGTTCACGTACTGGTCGATTAAAAGTAAATTTGGTATTTTACTGATTGTACTCCCAAAGAATTTTGCATTTTGAGCTCTCATTGGACGGATTATTGTCACATGAAAGAAGTAGGTCCACGCTTTGAAATGAGCCCCCTTAGGCTTTTTCGGTCATTTTTGTTTGTTTAAATGTGTTCGCATCTTCCAGCTGAACAACAAAGTAGGCCCTGGAGTTGAAAGTTAGATGTCAGTTAACATCCTATTTCGCACTTATTTCATTTTTTTGGTGAAAAATTGTATATAGTGAAAAATTATTCTTTATTTTGTTTACAAAAATCCACAAAATATTATAATACAAATTGAAAAAAATTGACAAAAGAAGAATAACAAATTGAAAAATTCTTCAACTTGTTCGCTGATTTTTTACAGCAAATGTTTAAAGATCCTTACAAAGTTTGTCAATAGAATGTACTACTATTTTCCGACAGCTGTTAAAATTATTCCAGTGACAGCTCATTATATTGTTTAAAGGTGTACGAAAGCATTTTGGTGAGAATTTTCCAGAAAAAAAGTTATTCGTAATGAAATTCAAATATGATAGTGTGATTTCTTTATATTTGGCTGGAAAAACACAAGTGGCTATCGTTAGAGCACTCCAGCATTTAAATGTGAATAAATCTTTTGTGTCTCATACCATCGTTCGTTACCGTGAAGTGGACGTAAGAAAACAGCAACATCAGCCAAAAAGTGCAAGAACTTATACAGCAACAGAAAGAAAATAGACTTAAAAGAGTTAAAGAGTTGTTTCGCTTGGCCGAAAGTGGTGAACTGCGAATTTGGTTTTCTCCGATGCAGCAGTTTGTAAACAAACAGAATGATCGTGTTAACTTGCCAAAGAGGTCAGCTGAAAATGTACACTTTCGGTTTTCCAGCAGAACTCAAGCGCCGCCATAACAGCCGATGGTCGCTCTCCGCTCGTATTAATCGACCGTGGCATCAGAATAAATGCCGAATATTATCGCGAATATAATCTGGAGGGTGTATTATAACATTTTGGCCGCAGACCTTGGACATTCCAAGAGGACTCAACACCATCGCACTCAGCACGCGCCACCCAAGAATGGTTACAAAATGAGGTTCCTCGCTTCATTTTCAGCGCACAATGGCCACCAAAATCTCCGGATACTAATCCGTTGTACTATAGTGTCTGGAGTATTTTGGAAAGCAAGGTTGGCACTAAAAAATACCAAAGTGTCGATCACCTCAAGCAAGCGCTTCGCCGGGAATGGGCCAAAATACCGCAGAGCAACATTCGGAGAGCGTGTAACGGTTTCATTGGCCGTTTGAAGGCCATAATTCGTACCAAAGGTGGCCAAATCGAAAAAATCTAAATTTATCTAAAATTTTATGCTATTTCCGAAATTTTTTGCTTTCATTCAATAAAATTTTTTAAAAAAATGGCGTTTGACTTTGTTGCAGTTTTTTTTTATCTCACCCTGTACATCAATAGTATCATTGATTATTAATTTAAATTCTTTCAAAAGTTTAATTATGAACAAAAGTTCAATTGCGAACAAAAACCATTTACTGGTTTTAATGTATTAATAATTATCAATTTAAATTAATAAAAAGCAATTAAAATATACTCATATTTATATATATTTTTTATAGATTTTATTACCCAAGTGCATGATTTAATAATGGAAATTCGCGATAACATTCTCAAAGGCTACGACGAGCATTACATTTGGTTTACGTTCTACAGTAACATCTTGACAACCATAAAAATAATTATCTGCCATAACATTGACGAAAGGTAAGTTTTGCATTATCAATTTTATATATTATGTATTTTGCACACATATTAACACGTATACGTACATACAGATTATGTGTGATAGCAGCTTCGACCCTTATGCAGCTTTGTGATCTCGCCATTTACATTGTAAAAGGTCAAATTGATATTTTAGAATTCTATGAGATCTTTGATAGGCGATGTCCAACCGTATTGGATGATTTGAAAAGTTTGCTCCTGTGGAAGGAACGACTTGCATGTAAGCATGTCGAAAAGTTTTTATCACCATTGAAAAATACACATAGTCTAATTGCCATAATGTATGATAAGTGAAAGATATTCGTTAGATACATAAGTTTTGGTCTAGATGACATGAAATTTAAAACCTTTATTATATTCAAATGTTCTAATTAATATTTCTTGTCGAATTAGTTTAAGTTTTTTGTATGATTTTGTGAGTCTCTTTTATTATGGTTAAATAACCTGAATAGTATTTGTGTTTGTGCCTTATATTAGGAATTTCAAATGTTTTTTATTAATCTCTCCATGTAAGTAGTTTTTGAGATAAGCAAATCGAAAAGTTTCATTGCATTTATGCTTCCTAAGTATTTTATTTCAAAAACTGGTCTAGAAACTAGTATTAAAATGAATTTTTATTTATTTTCTAACTATAATTTTTAATGTTAAGAAGTGAGGATGCACTTTTAATTCATTTTTCTTATGTTGAAGATATTTTTTACTTTAGCTTTACCCCTATTGTTTTTTTGAATGATTTTTAATTTATAATAAAAACCAATATAAGCTTATGTTTTTTTTATATATTGGCATTATTTTCATCATGTGTTAACGCTTTTATCAGATGCAGGTTCTTTGATTTATGTTGAGCTACATCAGCGGTTTAGTTTTCCTAGTTCTTTCCATATTAGGAAAGGATTATAAAATGGTTGTTCTCATCAGCCCCTTTGTGTGTAACATTAAACGTTAAAATTTTGAAAGAACATGGCAAAAAATGATTTGGTTGGACGTTGGCTTTATAAGACACCAGAAAAGTTAGTAAAATAGAATAAAATCTTTCTACCTATCCATTAAAAATGCAAAAGACATTTTTAGGTTATCTTTTATTACAAACACGAATTTACTAATATAATACTAACCGTATGATACCACCGCACCAAACTGCGACATTTTGTGGATGCATCGGTAGCTTTTCACAAATGATTCTTGACGATCTTCACTCCAAAATCGATAATTTTCGAATTATTTACGTACGTATTGAACCAAAATTGTGATTCGTTGGTACAATTATGGACCAAAAATAGCTTGACAGTGAAATAAAACACAAACCGGTTTAGCAGAAATCAAACCAATCATGTAAAGCTGTTACAACAGCAAGAATGAAAAGTGCATGAGATATATAAAGCCAGTGTTGCCAAAAACATAAGAAATCACCATTTATTTTCTTTATCAGCTTTAAAATCTGAACCAATTTTACAATGTTCCTCCGTCTGCCTGTTGAAATTGGAATGGAGTTAATATCCCATTTCGCCGAACTTATTATTCTAGAATTTATGTACACTTCAACTTTTGTAAGTGGTATTTTAATGCATACTATATGGCACGGAATATGGTAAGCACGCGGTACCTATGTACAGGATGAGATGAAAAAACTGCTACCAACTTCAGACTGCTGTCATTTCAAAGCCACTCGTCCGACAGCTTTAAAAATTATACCAGTGATAGCTCGTTCTATTGTTTGCAAGCGTATAAAAGCATTTTGGTGAGAATTTTCCAGAAAAAAGTTTTCGTGATGGAATTCAAGCGAGAATATTGAACATATCACAATATTCCATTCGGCAAATATTGAAAAATGAGCTCGGGGTAAAGCCATTGAAATTCCAAAAAAATGCAAGAACTTAAACAAAGAGAGCCAACGAGTTGCTTTGCTTGGCGGAAAGTGGTGAACTGTCGAATTTGGTTTTCTCCCATGAGAAAACATTAGTTGTCCAGCCGTTGGTAAACAAACAAAATGATCGTGTTTACTTGTCAAAGAGGTCACCTGAAAATGTGCACCTTCGGTTGGCCACCAGAAGTAAAGCGCCATCATGGTGATGGTGTGGGCCGCCATAACAGCCGATGGCCGCTCTCCGCTCGTATTAATCGACCGTGGCATCAGAATAAATGCCGAACATTATCGCGAAAATATTCTGGAGGGTGTATTAAAGCTTTGAACACGCAAACAATTTGGCCGCAGACCTTGGACATTCCAAGAGGACTCAGCACCATCGCACTCAGCACGCGTCACCCAAGAATGGTTGCGAAATGAGGTTCCTCGCTTATTTTCCAGCGCACAATTGCCACCAAAATCTTCGTATATCAATCCGTTGGACTGGAGTATTTTGGAAAGCTAGTTTGGCACTAAAAAATACCAAAGTGTCGATTACCTCAAAATGGGAATGGGTCAAAATACCGCAACATTCGGGCAGCATGTGACGGTTTCATTGAACGTTTGAAGGCCATACTCTGGATTTCTTTCGAGTGGAAAGCGGATGATGTCTTTCGTTTTCCTTAGAGAAATAGGTCATAAGTCTCAATTCGAACATAGGATATCGCCTAATAAATGCCACACACTTTCCATATGCTTATAAAATATAGCTGTCGGTTAAATCGACTAATCTTTTCCTCCTTGCATCAAAGTTATAGTTTTTCAAACTTCGAGATGTAAAAGGTAGTTTAATTCACAATATAAAATGATCACAAGTTTTCTTTATACAATTCATTTTTCTAAAATTCATATTATTTACATATGTATGTATGCCTTTTTACAATACTTCATATTGTAAAATACATAAAATTTTCACACGTTTTCATATCCTTACAATTGAACATTGTAATAATCATCGGGTTTGACAGTATGAGGGCCACCATAGTAGTCCAAGACAAAAATATTTTCAATCTCCAATTCGCACAAGTAGAAGGCATGGGCTATAACATAGAGAAAATGCATCAATGTCTCTTAATTAATTAAAGGTTTTAAAGTTAATTACCTTTTAACCAATTTTTAGCTGCAGGATGACGTTCCACAAATGACACCAGAGCTGGGTCATAATCTTTGGCATTTTTGTCCATCTAAAAAATGATGAATTATTTTTTTTTCTAAATTAAAAAAAATAATTGTTTTAGTAACACACCTTTTTAACTTGTCCACTAATCATGACACGAGCACAGGTTGGTTCCATGGGATCAATTGGTTGTACATTCCATCCCTTTGGCCGAGAGCAATGAAGTTGTTGCTCATCGGTAAAAAGAAATGTTGTTTTATTACTAACTTGCCAATCGATGCCGGTGAAATCTAAATCAGTTAGAAGAAAACGTATACGTCCCGTCGATTTTTGATGCACATCATTGTCATTTATTGAAATAATATTGACCATGGGAAAGCCCTTTACAGCCGGATTAGATGATATGGTGCCAACGGAAGCCCAATCTGTTTGATGCACCAATTTACGAGCAATAGCAGCATGATCCAGTTCTTTGGGCTCCCCTGACGCCTTCAAACTTCGTTTATATTCGGCAATAATGCGAGCATCCTCCAGTGCTGAGTATCCATGTGAAAGGTTACAGTATAATGCCACTAAAATGACAATGCTAAGAGGCCATTTGTTAGTCATTGCGGCTCAAAATCGCTGATTGATTTTTGAAACTTTCTATAATCCTCTCGACTGCAAAAAATAAAATGTAAAGCAAATAATGTTATTATAAGCCAATTTTATTATATTTCAATACTATTTTAATAGAACATGGAAAAATACAAACAACCATGTGTTTATCGCAAATCAAAGGAACCACCAAAAAGAGATAAGATAATTATACAATAAATAATTTTTCCATTTTCGGCATGTGATGATTACTTATTTTTGAAAACTTATCGATACAAATGGCAAATTGGTGTATCAAAACATTAATCCGCTGAAGCACGACTGGAAATCATGTAAACTTCTATATATATTTTGCTGCCATTCTTGTTTATAATTATTGCAAATCCGTTCTTGAAAGATATTGAAACCAAGTAATACATCTGTCGTCCTTTTACCCTCAGCGAAGGAATGAAACAAAAATTGTGCTTTGGCAGAAACAGAAGCAGAAGAGTAGGCAGAGCAAGTCCAGGAATAGGTCTAATGATCTTTATTATTAAAAATAGTACTAGCATGGGCGTTACTTAATAAATTGGAGTTCCGCAAGTGCTAGGAGGAGCTTTGCTGAACAACATTTTACAATGGCAAAATGTATGTTTCAGTGAACTTTTTTGTTGTTTCCTACAAGTTTAGGGTTTGAAATAGGGAAAATCTAATTAAAAAAAAAAGATCCTGAAAGCAATGAAAGGTGCCTCTTGGAACAAGAACAAATTGACACTCATAGAAAAATACAAAAACTAAAACCGCTCAATACTGTGTTACGCAGCCGCAGTGTATATGTACTTTTCAAGTGACGACCAAATTTACTAATGGCTCAAAGTTAACATAACTTGTTGCTTGTGAGATAGTTTCCCTTGGTCTGCCACTTGTTAAGCTATCGCAGCCTTTATATTGTGATGTAGAATCCACAACACAATTCCGAAAAGATATATATAACGCATCAATCCAGACTTGAGAGCAGGCCTCTGGATACCTCGTCGAAATCGTGTCTGAACCAAAACTCTTCAGGAATTTTCCACAGCGAACAGACGTTCAAAGTAATTTTTAAATCGAGCAAAAGCTACCGAGGATCGGACTGATGTCCAAATTACGTCAAAGTCCTCATAATACGATATACATGGATTCTTGTATAGGGTGAGATGAAAAAACTGCAACCAACTTCGTCCGACAGCTGTTAAAATTATGTCAGTGACAGCTCATTACAAGCGTGCAAAAGCATTCTGGTAAGAATTTTATAGAAAAAAAGTTATTCGTAATGGAATTCAAGCGTGATAGTGTGATTTCTTTATATTTGGCTGGGAAACCACAAGTGGCTATCGTTAGAGCACCCCAGCATTTAAATGTGAATAAATCTCTTGTGTCTCGTACCATCGCTCGTTATCGTGATACTGTTAGCATAGTCCGACGTCAAGGAAGTGGACGTAAGAAAACAGCAACATCAACAGAAATGGTTCGAAAAGTAAAGAAGCGACATGATCGAAACCCGCGTCGCAATGGCCGAAAAATGGCTCGTGAGCTGAACAAATCGCAATGTTCCATTCGGCAAATATTGAAAAATGAGCTCGGGGTGAAGTCATTGAAATTCCAAAAAGTTCAAGAACTTACACCGCAACAGAGGGAAAGTAGACTCAAAAGAGCTAAGGAGTTGCTTCGCTTGGGCCAATGTGGTGAACTGGCGAATTTGGTTTTCTTAGATGAGAAAACATTTGTTGTTCAGCAGTTTGTAAACAAACAAAATTATCGAGTTTACTTGCCAAAGAGGTCAGCTGAAAATGTGCACCGAAAATATTCTGGAGGGTGTATTAAAGCCTTGGGCACGCAAACATTTTGTCCGCAGATCTTGGGTGTTCCATCAGCACCATTGCACTCAGCACGCGCCACCCAAGAATGGGCGTTAGAATGAGTTTCCTCGCTTCATTTCAAGCGCACAATGGCCACCAAAGTCTCTGGATACCAATCCGTTGGACTATTGTGTCTGGAGTATTTTGGAAAGCAAAGTTGGTACTAAAAAAATACCAAAGTGTCGATCACCTCAAGCAATTGCTACGCCGGGAATGGGCCAAAATACCGCAGAGCAACATTCGGGCAGCGTGTGACGGTTTCATTGGCCGTTTGAAGGCCATAGTTCGTGTCAAAGGTGACCAATTTGAACAAATCTAAACTTATTCTAATATTTGAAGCTATTTTCGACATTTTTTGCTTTCATTCAATAAAATTTGAAAAAAAAATTAAAAATTATGGCGTTTGACTTTATTACATTTTTTTATCTCACCCTGTACATTCTGGAAGCCCAATAATTTTAGTAATAATATTCTTAGCCTAAAATTTAAACAAAATTGTTCAACTATTCACCTTTATTCTTTAATATTTTTGAAGCATTTGAAGTAAAGGAACAACTCTAGTTTAGTAAAAACTCTTCGAGTTTTTCGAAATTTTTTCCAGTGGTAGGTATTTTTACCCTGATCCCGGGAAAATATTTTTTTTTTTTGGGGACGGACCCGGGACCCCAGATTTTGACCTAAAAGTCCGGGATCAAGACCCCGCTTGGATCCGGATCCATTTACCCGATATAGACGGCTATCGATTGAAAGCTTATGGAAATACCTATCCAACAAGTGGTCACATGAAGGGGGTTCGGAAGTTATAGTCAAATTATCGATTTTTTGGACCCGAATTTTTTATGAAACCCCCAAAAAGTCAAAAAAGTGCCCATTAGGGGTCAACAAAATTGTTTCCAAATTATAGCTGACATTCTTACCTTTCCAAAATGCTACAGTTTGTGCCAATACCTTTTTCGGGTCCAGAGATATGGGTCTTTCCATCCGCATAACCCGATTCTAACCAGTTCATTAAAATGGTGGGAGCAAGTTGAGTTTAGGGGCTATGCTCGGATCATTTTGAAATTTTTACCGCAGGTAGGTATTTGTAACCTGATTACGGCAATGTAATTTTTTTGTGGGGGAAATACCCGGTTACCCGGTTATTCGACCCAAAAGTTCGAATATAACATCCGGTTTGTATCCGGTTCTACGTAACCGATATCAATAAAATGGGTACCATTTGAAAGCTTATGAAAATACCTATCCAACAAGTGGTCATATGACGGGGTTGCTGGAACCGGTTTCGGAGAAATTTAGGAAAATTTGCATTTTTGTATGAGTACTTTTTGAAAAACCTATAAAAACTCGAAAACGGACCCATTATAGGGTCTTAAAATCTATACACTATATTATAGCTAACACTATTGCCTTTCCAAAATGGTGTCATATGTGTTGATATCTTTTGTGGTTCCGTGGATATAAGAGATAGAATTCATTAAATTATATTTTTCTCCAGTCTAGATGCATTTGACTTTGACCTTTTTAGCTTTTTTAAGCAACCGGCCTTCGGCCGGGGCTTAAGATTTTCTCCTCTGGGGTATGTCCAACACCGGCTACGCGATCCATAGTTTTTCTAAAAATTGTACATTTTGTAAGTAGCCGGCTTTCGGCCGGGGCTTAAGATTTTCTCCTCTAGGGTATGTCCAACACCGGCTACGCGATCCATAGTTTTTCTAAAAATTGTAATTTTTGTAAGTAGCCGGCCTTCGGCCGGGGCTTAAGATTTTCTCCTCTAGGGTATGTCCAACACCAGCTACGCGATCCATAGTTTTTCTAAAAATTGTAATTTTTGTAAGTAGCCGGCCTTCGGCCGGGGCTTAAGATTTTCTCCTCTGGGGTATGTCCAACACCGGCTACGCGATCAATAGTTTCCTAAAAACTGTAGTTGTCGAAAGTAGCCGGCCTTCGGCCGGGGCTTAAGATTTTCTCCTCTGGGGTATATCCAACACAGGCTACGCGATCCATAGTTTTTCTAAAAATTGTAATTTTTGTAAGTAGCCGGCCTTCGGCCGGGGCTTAAGATTTTCTCCTCTGGGATATGTCCAACACCGACTACGCGATCCATAATATTCTAACAACACCAAATTAAAAACAAAGCAGATTAACAAGAACGTTAAACCCGACACAAAACTTGGGTTCACTCAAACTGTATCCGAACTTTTGGGTCGAATAACCGGGTAACCGGGTATTTCCCCCACAAAAAAATTATATTGCCGTAATCAGGTTACAAATACCTACCTGCGGTAAAAATTTCAGGTCAATCCAAGCATAGCCCCTAAACTCAACTTATGCCAAATGGTGTTTTCAATAAAAAAGGGTTTATCTCGAACAGTTTTTACTAAACTAGAGTTAAGCCGAGGTATATTCTTATCAAAGATGATAATGAACTCGATGTTGAATTTGTTTTTGTTATTATTAATTTTATTATTACAATCAACTGTTATCATATGAACTTCTTCTTCTCCAAAAAATACAAACGCACATAGGTAATTTGCAAGAACGCAAAAAATAAAAATAATCACACAGAGGGAACAAAGGAGTTTTCCCAACAAAAAAAGACACAAAGAAAGAATGTATTTTCAATTTTAATATTATTTACAGAACGATGATAAACATACATTTATTAATATGTGCGTACAGCAGTTATTTTATATTTATGCAAATCGTTTGCTGATGACCACAACTTTTTGGCGATCTTTGCTCTTTTTGGCACGATACTTTCTTACCCGCTTACTTTCGTTTCCGTAATGTGACTGAGCTGCAAAGTTTTATGTCGGTCTGATTCGAGCTATGACAAGAGAGAATCCATTTTCAAAAACATTTGTTGATCTGTTGCACTACTACTCACCGTTTGCCTGTTTTATTTTGCTTATCATTTCTTTGTTTTTATAAAAAAAAGAAAACAGAAAATCTCAAAGAAAGCAAACGAAACAAAAAACAACTGTACAAAATAATCATTTTAAGGTTGTAAGACAAAACAAAGCAAACGAAACAAAAAACAACTGTATAAAATAATCATTTTATGGTCGTAAGAGGGAGATAGATAATGATAATAAAAATTATACAGATTTAATATTTCAAAATAAATAAAAAAACGGATATTTGACTATGATTTTTGATGTATAGGTTTTTTTTTTTAATTGTCTTTTAATATAAAATGGAGGGTATATACAGGGTGAGATAAAAAAACTGCAACAATGTCAAACACCATAATTTTTACACTTTTTTTTAATTTTATTTAATGAAAGCAAAAAATGTCAGAAATAGCATCAAATTTTAGAATATGGTTGTTGTTGTTGTTGTAGCAGCTCATACATATGTGTTCGTTTGGTTTCCATTTTCTAACTCAATTCAATCCGGTTCTGCCTCTAAGTCCAGTCTCAAAAAGGATGCAACCTGTATGGGTTGAGTCCATAACGAGACTGGAGTTAGGTGAGTAGGCTTGGCTGGGCAGCGAAATAAATGCAGCGTGTCATGTGGGCCTGTGCCACATGCTGGGCAGATGTTCTGCACTTCGCCGTTGATCCGGGCCCAGTAGGAATTTAGGCGGCTGCACCATCCGGATCGTAATTGAGCCAAGACTACTCGGGTTTGTCGGGGCAGCTCTCGTTCTTCAGCTGCGACGGGAGGGGGATGGTCTCCTAGCACAGTATTCACTCTATATCCTTCAATGGCTTCTGAGACCGCATTAGAGTGAATACTATTCAGTCCCGCTTGATAGGCCTGTTGATCTAGAGGCTCTCTCTTATACCTCTGTACCTCTCTCTCTAGATCATGAAGGTCTTTCCTAACGTGCCTGGGCGGAGGTTGCCTATCCACAAGATGGTGATTTGGATGGCTTTGTCTATAACACCCAAGCAGGTATTGCATTGACAGCATTTTGTTATGCTGTCGCACCGGTAAGACCTTCGCCTCCTCATGTAGGTGATCGACGGGTGTCATGAGAAGGCACCCTGTTGCGGTTCTAAGGGCGGCATTCTGGCAGGACTGAACATTTTTCCACTGCGTAGCACTGACGTTAGCGGACCACACTGGAGCCGCATAGTTTACCACAGACCGGCCTATCGCGTTGTAAGAGGTCAACAAGGTCTCCTTATCAGCTCCCCAAGTACTGCCGGCCAGAGACTTGAGGACCTTGTTCCTACTTCTAATCTTGTCGCAGATAGCTGTGGTATGCGCGGACGACTTAAAGAGGCTATCGAATGTGACCCCTAATACCTTGGGGTAGTTGGTGGTCGGAATAAGAGCACCATCGACCTGCACATTCAAGGATAGCCCCATCTCCGCAGTCCATGTGGTGGTGGGAGAATATGGTCGAATTGGTCACCTTTGGCATGGCCTTCAAATGGCCAATGAAACCGTCACACGCTGCCCGAATGTTGCTCTGCGGTATTTTGGGTCATTCCCGGCGAAGCGCATGCTTGAGGTGATCGACACTTTGGCATTTTTTAGTGCCAACTTTGTTTTCCGAAATACTCCAGACACAATGGTCTAACGGATTAGAATTCGGAGATTTTGGTGGCCATTGTGTGCTGGAAATGAAGCGAGGAACCTCATTTTGTAACCATTCTTGGGTGGCGCGTGCTGAGTCCTATTGGAATGTCCAAGGTCTGCGGCCAAAATGTTTGCGTGCCCAAGGCTTTAATACACCCTCCAGAATATTTTTGCGATAATATTCGGCATTTATTCAGATGCCACGGTTGATTAATACGAGCGGAGAGCAACCATCGGCTGTTATGGCGGCCTACATCATCACCTCTTTGGCAAGTAAACACGATCATTTTGTTTGTTTACAAACTGCTGGACAGTGAATGTTTTCTCATCGGAGAAAACTAAATTCGGCAGTTCACCACTTTCGGCTCTTTTGAATATATTTTCTTTCTGTTGCGGTGTAAGTTCTTGCACTTTTTAGAATTTCAATGGCTTTACCCCGAACTAGTTTTTCAATATTTGCCGAATGGAATATTGCGATATGTTCACCTCATGGGCCATTTTTGGTAACTGCGACGCGGGTTTCGATCAAGTTTGGACGAGTGGCTTAGAAGTGACAGGTGATTTGCGAGGTTTACTACTTTCGTACTTTCGTCGTATGTATGATACGTCACAGTTCCTGACAGGTCATCTATGCCAATGCCAAAATATTATTTTCTCTACTTTTGTAGAAAGTATAAAAGTATTGTCATTGATGTTGACGACCCAAAAAGTATTCGCAATGAAACGAACTCATTTCCCAATTAATAGATTAAGTAATAAAAAAACACCAAAAATTTTTTCATTTCCATTTAGTTATAGACATTTATTTTTATTTATTTCTTAATTTCATTGATTTTCCATCATCAGTTGGTTTTCATTTTATCGCATTTTTTAGTTACATTTCATTTCCCACGCAAAATTTCTTATCTTGGGGTGTAACATTTATATTAAATTAGTTGTTTTTTTTTATTGTTATTGTTTTCCTTCTTTTTTTTCCATGTATATATAACTTGTTTACAATTTTTTTTTAGTATTTGCAATTGGTTTTATTTTAAATAGTATTTATTTTTTTGTTCACTTCTTTTGTTGAATACATTTATGGGTTATTATTTTTCTGTTTTGTTTCGGTTTTTTTATTTACTTTCTGTAGATGTTTTTCTCCTATTTCGAAAAAGTAATTTTTTAATGGATTTTATAAAAAGAAATATATATTAAATCAGGGAATATTTAATAAATAATTTACATATACATACATATGTATATAGTATTTAAATTGTTTTTCGGGGTTTTCGTTTAGATTTATAACAGTTATGGCAAAAATTGAAATGACACAAGAGTGGGCTAAAAGGGCAAGGTTCAACAATGGCGAAGTGGAGATGTTATACCTAAACATCAGGGCGGGAGACAAAAAATCATTATACAGGTTGAGATGAAAAAGCTGCAACCAACTTCAGACTGCTGTCATTTCGAAGCCTGCTCGTCCGCTTGTTAAAATTATTCGATTGACAGCTCATTATATTGTTTACAAGCATACAAAAGCATTCTGGTAGGAATTGTCCAGAAAAAATGTTATTCGTGGCTTTGGTTAGAGCACTCCAGCATTTAAATGTGAATAAATCTTTTGTATCTCGTACCATCGCTCGTTACCGTGATACTGGTAGCGCAGACCGACGTCAAGGAAGTGGACTGAGAAAAACAGCAACATCAGCAGAAATGGTTCGAAAAGTAAAGAAGCGACTTGATTGAAACCCGCGTCGCAGTGGCCGAAAAATGGCTCGTGAGCTGAACATATCGCATTATTCCATTCGGCAAATATTGAAAAATGAGCTCGGGGTAAAGCCATTGAAATTCCAAAAGTTCATGACTCAAAAGAGCTAAGGAGTTGCTTCGCTTGGCCGACAGCGGTGAATTGCCGAATTTGGTCAGCTGAAAATGGCATCTTCGATTGGCCACCAGGACTCAAGCGCCGACCATGATGATGGTGTGTACGCCATAACAGCCGATGGTCGCTCTCCGCTCGTATTAATCGACCGTGGCATCAGAATAAATACCGGTTATTAATGTGAAAATATTCTGGAGGGTGTATTAAAGCCTTGGGGGCACGCAAACATTTTGACCGTTGAACTTGGACATTCCAACAGGACTCAGCATTATCGCACTCAGCACTCGCCACCCAAGAATGGTTACAAAATGAGGTTCCTCGCTTCATTTCCAGCACACAATGGTCACCATTTCCAGCACACAATGGCCACCGGATACCAATCCGTTGAACTTTTGTGTCTGAAGTATTTTGAAAAAGAAGGTTGGCACTAAAAAATACCAAAGTGTCGATCACCTCAAGCAAGCGCTTCGCCGGGAATGGGCCAAAATACCGCAAAGCATCATTCGGACAGCGTGAGGCGGTTTCATTGGCCGTTTGAAAACCATTATTCGTACCGAAGGTGACCAATTCGAACAAATCTAAACTTTTTCTAAAATGTGATGCTATTTCCGACATTTTTTGCTTTCATTCAATAAAATTTAAAAATGATGGCTTTTGACTTTGTTGCAGTTTTTTATCTCACCCTGTACAAAATAAACAAAACGTTTCCGTTTCTTTTTCAATCCAAATATCAGACTTTCAAAAGCTAATGACGGTACTAATTTAGACTTTCAACTCAAGTTGTATTTAAAGAATTGTGTTAAAAAAAGAAAACTGTCGTCTGTCGAAATCTATGTCTTTAAAATTTTAGCCCATAAATTCTCTTCCTCGCAATCTTTCAGTCCGCCCATATGTGTTAAATCATATTTTGGGAAAAAATGTGAATTTTTTTGTTCAATAATATTTGTTTGTCTGTCTCTTCTCAAAAAAAGGGAACATTTTTGTTATACAGAGTGTTAATTATGTTTGTTTGTTGTTTCCTTGAATAATAGATATATTATGCATGTGTTGCAATTGCATTTTGTTTTAACAAATATAGATATATGTATGTATGTATCTCTTCTTACTAAATATATAATACAAAACACATTCCATAAACAATATTTTAACTTACAAAAATATATATTTATATATATGTATATGTTATATATGTATACAGGTTTTATTTTTTAATTTATTTTTTCTTTATTACAAAGTGTGCGTGTTTTTTTCATACTTAGTTTCGATTTTTTAATTTAGTTATAGTTTTTTTTTTACATTTCAATATGGCATTCATTATTATATATAGAGATATTTAAGAAGGATTTGTTGGTTTAATTCATTTCTTTATTATTATTATTATTTTTGTTTTGTTTTAAATATATTTATTTATATATGATATTTGTTTCTTTAAATTATGATTATAATTCTGTTACGATTCTAAAAAATGGGTGGTTTACAGTACTTGTTTGTATTTGTGTGTGTTGTTGTTGTATGTTGATAAACTAGTATTATTATTGTTTCATTTGTTTATGTTTTTCTTTGTACCAAAAAGATTGTGTACTTTGTTTTTGGAAGTTGTTTTATTTTCTTCGTTTTTAAAAGAATAAATAAATTAAATATTTGTTTTATATAAAAGAAAAAAATATATAATTACAATTTTGAAAAAAAAAAGTTTTTTTTTAATTAAAGCAGCATTCGTTGATTTCATAGTTTGTTTTCTAAACTGTTTTTTTTTGTTTGATATTTGTTATAGCTTAAAAGTTAAAGTCGTCATGTATCAAAAAATATTACAATTTCCTTGTCATAGAAGTTATTAAAAAAAAAAAACACTAATAAATCAAACTAAAAAACTTAAAATTTAATTCGTTTCATCCGAGCAGAGATAGATGGTTGCAAGTTCACCAAAATTAAAACTTAAATCTAGTAATTTTGGTTGTTTTTTTTTAAGTTGTTTCTGAATTTATTGAACATATAACAGCTTTTATTTTCGGTTTTTATTTTGACATTTGATTTTTTTTTTTGATAATTAAATGATAATTTACATTGATCCATGATCCACTTTAGGCTAAGAAAATCAAAACAAATTTGTGACATCAGAGATTGAAAAGGACACACTCTTTAAGGTAACCGCGTAAGAAAGCCTTTTTAGTTACACATCTTTGAAATTTTTTTCTAAATGATGAAATTTTTACAACAAAACATATATTTCGATTTTTCATCTACAACGAGAGTTAAAATATTGGCATCGTAAACCATTAGATACTATATTTCAAAATACATAATTTTTTAAATTCGCCTCGGCAGACCATAGTAGTTGTATCTTCCCTTAATGTTAATGAATTGAAGAAAAATCCATATAGTTTTTAAATGGCCACAACAGGTCGTAGCATCAGAGTAAACGCCGAATATTATCGCGAAAATATTCTGGAAGGTGTTTTAAAGCCTTGGGCACGCAAACATTTTGACCGCTTCCTCGCTTCATTTCCAGCGCACAATGGACCCCAATATCTCCGGATACCAATCCGTTGGACTATTGTGTCTAGAGTATTAAGTGTCGATCACCTCAAGCAAGCGCTTCGCCGGGAATGGGTCAAAATACCGCAGAGCAACATTCGGACAGCGTGTGACGGTTTAATTGGCCGTTAGGGCCATAATTCGTGTCAAAGGTGACCAATTCGCACAAATCTAAACTTATTCTAAAATTTGATGCTATTTTCGATATATTTTGCTTTCATTGAATAAAATTTAAGAAAAAGTCAAAATTTTGGCGTTTGTCTTTGTTGCAGTTTTTTTGTATCTCACCCTATATTCATGCAAATGCAGATCCCTCATTTTTTAATCACAATGTAAATCAGAACTTATATTACTAGGACAACCTAATGGTTAGTTCTGATTCACATCAGACAATTTTCCATGAGACAACAATGCTGATTTTCCCATGGGCTTGTGCATTTGTAATTACAACAAAATAGGAACTGAAAATGTACCGGTAGTATTTCTTTTTTTTTGCTTTTTCAGTCCTCTTATGCTAAGAATTTGAACTTGCCGCAAGTAACTTCCCCTAATTTAAATTGGCCTAAATCATGTTCATGCCTACTAACAATTGTACATTGCTTCGTATTATTCTTTGTAGTGCGAAATTGTCTTGCTATTATTATTGGGTATGAAAATTGCTTATTGGTTAAATACCAAGATTTTTTGCAGCAGTTCAGATAAACGTTTTCGTTTAGAGATTTTGAATTGATAAATATTAAACATCTTCTCGTTTTATGACGAATCACCTCGATTCGATATGAATCACATGCCTGTTGTGGTTTTCGTTAATTTCCCTGATGATTGATCGAATCGATAACAAAAATATTGATCTTTATATCTACGAAACAGAAAAGAAATGTTGTTTTTTTTTGTTGGTGGATGATTGTTGTTCGTGTGTGTGTGTGTATGCGGTATTCCTTGGTTTTCTCTTAATTTTAAATTATTTTTGAAACATTTGTTATGATTTTCTTCCATTGTTTTTTTATAAACACATATAACATATAAACATCTACATTGTTGTTGTTATAATTATTATTGTTTTGTGAGAGCCTGGGTGTATTTTTGTAAATTTGTGTGTTGGTGTGTCTCTGTTAAAAGCAAACACAAAATGTTTCATATTTTTGCAATTCTTTAATTGTTGAAATCAATAAAGTTTTGAAAAAAAAAATTCTTTTGATTTGTGTATTTTTGTATGTATCCATGCGTGTGTTTGTGTGTACATTATCAATTTTTACATACAAATATAACTAACAAGTTCTTGTTTTACTTAATGGCTACATTACATTATTATGTTTTTTTTCTGTTTTCTTGTTCTTACAAATATATGTATGTATATTAAATGTTATAATTTTGTTTTAACAATTCCTTGGCGCGAGTTTTTTTCTCTAATAAATCAAAACCTGTTGTAATTAAATGTAATGAACAAAAAAAGTGATAATGATATCAAGTCGAAAACTTAAAAATAAGAAGTATCAATGTTATGATTATTAAAGCTTTAAATGTTTTTTGATTTGTTATGAAAAATATTATAGGTAAACAAGTATAAAGTCTAAAAAATATATTTATTTTGTTGTTGTTGCTTGTTTATTTAAACACAAATAATAATCTCGTTTCCATTTGACATATGACTAGATTTAAATAAAATATTGTTTTTGTTATAAATTATTGTTGCTCTTGACATTAGCGAACGCAGGAAAGAATAAAATAATTGTAGATCTCTCGAATTGTTGCTATTTTGGGCATTTTGTATTACATTAATTTGGCAGCAGTACCAGCAAGCATTTTAAGTCAAAATCATTAACCTGAAATGAGAAAAAATGTCGATTAAAATATTTGAGAAGGGGGAGTGGATAAAGCAGTTTCTAATAAACCTATTTCGTTACTGACAAAAAATCTCTAATGAAAAACATTTGTAGGGCTTTTAAATTAAGATATTCACATCATAGTATAGAGGGTATATTAAGTTTGTCATTCCGTTTGTAATACCTCGAAATATACATTTTACACCCCACATAGCATATATATTCTTGATCAGCATAAAATTCTATGTCAATTTAGCGCTATTCGTCTGTGGAAATCACTCTAGCTTCCGAATGAAATGAACTAGGTTGAAAAAATTTTACTCAAATGTTTAATATGTCTGCAGGACTTTTGGCATTGAAAATGGTTGATGTAGGTCCACGTTTTTGGTATATCCCCATATAATGGTACCTCCCTTTGTTCGGTATTTTGGTGATTTAAGCGACATTTTTCACCAGAAATATTTCAAATTTGGTATTTGAAGTTCGTAACAGGTACTACAGCCTATGATAGAAAATTGTCAGTGCAGGTCCACCTCTTCTTATAGCCCCCTTATAACGGTATCTCACGATATTCGGTATTTTAAAGATTTTAGCGACATTATTCACCGGAAATGTTTCAAATTTGGTGTTTGAATTTCGTAATCGATTGTACAGCCTATGACAGAAAATTGTCTGTGCAGGTCCACGTCTTCGTATATCCAAAATATAACGGTACCTCCCTATATTCGGAATTTATATTATTTTAGCTACATTATTCACCGATCTTTTTATTCAAGTTTCGCATTTGAATATTGTAATGGTTGATGAAAAAAGTTGCCTATGCAGGCCCATGTCGTCGTGTAGATACTAATATAACGGTAGTTTTAAGATTTTAATAGAATTTTTAACGGATTTTATTTTTTTGAAAATTGCCAAAATCGTTCCAAATGGTGGACCAAAATTACAGCTTTTTTTACTTGTTTCTCTCTCAAAACTTGGTATCCCTCAGCTCCTCATAGAATGGATTGATGCTGTGTTCAGCAGCAAAAACTTCAACTCACGCATTGGGGAGAGCTCTATTAGAAGATCGGTCATAAGGGATTCACCACAAAGCGGTATTCTGTCACCATCTAAAAGGGAGCTCGCCGTCTTCACGATGAAATAAAAAACTTCCAGAATTTTCACTACCGTGCGTGATTTCATTTCCTGAGGAGCCAAATATTTTGGTACACTTCTCGACCACCATCTAAACTGGAAGAGAACACCTCACCTCGGGTTTGTTGGGGCAGCTTTCGTTCTCAGCTGCGACGTGAGGGGGATGGTCTCCTAGTACAGTATTCACTCTATATCCTACAATGACTTCTAAGACCGCGTTAGAGTGAATACTATTCAGTCCCGCTTAATAGGCCTCTCTCTCTCTCTTTTATACCTCTGCACCTCTCTCTCTAGATCATAAAGGTCTTTCCTTACGTGCCTGGGCGGTGGTTGCCTATCCACAAGATGGTGATTCGGATGGCTCTGTATATAACACCAAAGCAAGTATTGCATTGACAGCATTTTGTTATGCTGTCGCACCGGTAAGAACATCGCCTTCTCATGTATGTGATCGACAGGTGTCATGAGGAGGCACCCTGTTGTGGTTCTATGGGCGGCATTCTGGCAGGAATAAATATTTTTCCACTGCGTAGCACTAATGTCGACGGACCACACCGGGCCCGCATAGTTTACCACAGACCGGCCTATCGCGTTGTAAGAGGTCAACAAGGTTTCCTTCTCAGCTTCCCCAGTGCTGCCGGCCAGAGACTTGAGTCTAACGACTTAAAGAGGCTACTGATGGTGACCCCTAATACCTTGACGTAGTTGGTAGTCGGAATTACAGCACCATCGGCCTGTACATTCAAAGATAGCGCCATCTCCGCAGTCAATTTGGGGAAAATTGTGGCCGTCGATTTAGTGGCGGATATCTTCATATTCCTCGCAGTGAAAAAGGCGGTAAGATCAACATCGCAAATGTCATCAATAATGGGTCCGGACGCCACGAGCGTAAAATCATCTGCATACGTTATTATCTCGTCTGGAGGGGGTGTAATGTCAGAAAGATAGAGGTTGAACCGTTCCGGAGATATCACCCCACCTTGGGGAATTCCCTGTTTAACTCTAAGCATATCCAACGTTTCAAACTTGGCTGGAGGGCAGTCCGCTCAATTTCCTCGAACAGTGTGGCATGATTGTATCAAAGGCTTTGATAAATTAAGTGCCACCATAACTGTTCTATCACACGGCCTGTTTTGGTTGAGAGGAGTAAGGCCTCGAGCGTCTTTGCTACTGGTGACAAAAGTGATATCGGCTTGTAGGAATCACAGGGTGGCTTTTCCAGTTTTAGGGAGTCGTGCAGAAGACACAGATTTGTAGGTGAATATCTGACACAATTACCTGATTGAATTGCCTAAGAGCATTAAATGAATATGGAGTGTAGGATCAAGTGTGTCTCTTCGAGAGGTAGCACGGTCCGAGATGTTTCCCGTGAAAACATTAGTTTCGTTCTTGCGTGACACTAGGTCCTTCTTTTTAAGATAAAATTATCCAGATCTATGTCATCCAGCGCAAACCATGAAAAATCATTACCAATGATTGCTATCCATGTACCGAAAATGTTGATTAAACCTAAATTTCTAAAAAAAATAAGGTCTAATGATCCCGTAAACAGCACCAAACAGATACCCATTAGGAATGGAAGGGCTTTCCAAATTTGAAAAAAAAAAAAAAAATGCAAAATTAAAAAATGATCATCTTACCTATAGAATAGTGATTTTGATGATGATCCAAACCAACTGCCAAACATTTTATGTTTTCCATATAAAATCCAAGCTAGCGTATTTTCAATAGTATCTGGAAGCATTAAGGACAGTAATATTCCTGGTACCTTCGTCTCTGCAGATAAGTAGCTGTTGACTTGTGAGTTTGTAATATGAATAAAAGCTGGTAGGTAATACCTTGATTTATTTCGCTGTGTAGTCGTAGAATAGAAATAATGAATTTCTCTTATCTTTTTATTATTCTTATTTTAGGAGGAGACGAAGTCGTTTTCTAATCGGGGGTTTCATTTTATTTTTTTTTTGTAAAAATATTCGTTTTTTTGCGATAGCTTTTCTTTGAAAAGAAGAAAGAAAATAAAGTAGTTTCAAATAGGTAACAGCAGCAGGCAGAGGTTTCATTATTTAGTAAGTAATTCTTAAGAAAATTGTGTATATTTTCCTACGATATGATATAGTTTGTTTCTTTTCCTTCATTTGCTTCTTTTTGTCCTATAACCTTTCAGGTTATTACACATTTCAATTTCGTTCTGTGTTAGTTTTCTTCTTCCTCGTGATGATGTTGCTGTTGCTGCTGCTGTTGTTGTTGATGATGATAGTAATATGGATTGCCTACGTAATATGTACGCAAAACTCCATCCACTCACATCTGCCTATATGGTGAATGCATTTTTAGCCATTGTAATACCAATGAGGGACCCCCGGCCTGTATTTCGGGCGGTATGGTACTCAACGGACATTTATCAATGTTTAGATATTTCAAATTTGTACACAGCGCCAGTTCGTAGGGCAATTTTTCCAAACAGGGATTTTGATTGATGTAGAGATTTTCCAAATTTTCCAAGGAACCAATTTCTTCGGGTAAGAATTGTAAATTGTTTTCACTCACGGATAGATGTGTCAAATTTGTCAGATGACCAATGCTACGAGGTAGCATTGAGATTTGATTGGTTTGCAGGATGAGTTTCTGCAATTCATGCAAGAGACCAATTTCATTGGGCAAAACTTCAATGCGATTCTCCTCCAGGTCGAGTATACGCAGTTTACGCAACTGACCAATGGTATTGGGTATCTTTTTGAGCATATTGTTGGACAGTATAAGAATTTCGAGATTTTGTAAATTCATAATGTCGTCGGGCAGCTTTTGTAAAGCATTTGTGGCCAAATTCAGCTCCACCATATTCACCCAAGTGCCCACATCAAGGGGCAAGGCGGTTAGGACGTTTTCTTTCATATTCAGTTTGGTGAGACCCTTGGCCCGCGAGAAGATCCCATAGGGGATCTTGTCGATGCGATTGTGTTCCAAATTAATACTATAAACATTGGTGAACTGGGCCGGTCCACCTGTGGGGTAGCTACTGAAAGCGTTGCGCGATAAGGTGATGGTTGTCAAAGCACTCAGTGAAGCCAGCAGACCATCAGGCAGTTGTGTAATACTGTTACCCTCCACATTGAATTCATCCATGCATTTGCAGTTCTTTAGCGAGTTGGGTATGCAGTTCAGGCGATTGTAGCGCAAACCCAGTCGCACAAGATTCTTCAAATTTCCAATACTTTCAGGTATGTCCAGCAGCTCGTTATGTTGCAAATCTAAAGCACTCAAATTAACACAGTTTCCAATATCCTCTGGCAGATGCTCCAAATGATTGTGACTAACATCTAAGGTTGTCAGGTTGACCAAAGCTCCTATACAATCGCCCAGCACTCGTATTTTGTTCTCCCTTAAACTCAGCATGGTGAGATTGGTCAGATTGCGCAAATCATTGGCCACAGTAGTGATGCGATTGAATCGCAAATACAGTGTGGTAAGTGAACGTAGTTTATATATCACGGCTGGTATTTCGGCTAGTTTGTTGTGTCTCAAATCCAATACTTTCAATTGTTTGCAATGCTGCAGTGAATCCGGCAGCGATGTCAGGGAGTTTTCATTTAAAGCCAAGGTTTTCAAATACACCAAATGTCCAATTTCTTGGGGCAATTGACCAATTTTATTGCTGTACAAATACAATTCCGTTAAGTGGACACAATCTTTGACACTGGGCGGTATGACAGTTATTGAGGATTTGCTTAAATCCAGACGTTTGATTCCTAAAGAAAAGGGAAATAGATTAAAGTTATTTAAAACCCTGTTTTGTTTCTCTTACCCTCATCTCGACACCTTTGCAGTGCCTTTAGCACATCCTGATCGGCCTGAATGGGTTTTGGTTTTTTCATTGTCGGCTTGGGTTTATTGGATTCTGGGTGCTTTACAGTCACCATTTTGGGTCTGGTCTCTGGTGGCATTTCGTTGTTGTTTGAACTACTGCTTCCCTGATGATGATGTTGTTGCTGCTGCTGATGATGATGATGTGTTGATGTTGACGCCGCCGTCGATGATCCTAGTAATGTTGGTGCACTCAAGTTGCCAAAACAATTTGTTGTTAAAGTTACAACGTTGCCAGCAACACCACCACCTCCGCCAGCACCGCCGGTACAGGAATTTGCTGATGTCGTTCCGCTACTACTACCGCCACCACCACCGCCGCCTCCACAGGCAGTTGTTGTTTCTTGTTGTAAATCGTCCGATGCTAACGATGTCGATGATGCTGTTGCACCCACCGATGAACACAAGTTCATAATTTTTCCCAGTTTTACGTTTGGTAAAGACAATTTGCCGCCCAAAACGAAATATGTTTATTTTCACTAGTCACAAAGAAGAAACAATGAAAAAATTTATGGAGAATTTTGAGTAGCAGAGAGGAGGTGGCTATCGTCGTGTATTTTCTCTGCGATTTGGGCGATCAGTTTTGTGGATGTTTTTCTTTGATTCTAAAAGAAACAATAGAAAACGGTTTAAATTAACATTTTATTCTAGTTATTACACAATGCTGCCCAGCATTTTTAGGCTACAGGGATGCGTACTTTATATATTTGAGAAATGAAAAGGGACTATTCGAGAAATAATTTTAGGTGTCAAAACATACAACATTTTATTATTATTGTTTTTTTTTTTCAAAACTCAAAAAGATAATTAAAATACATATTAAGAAGGACCAAATATATTTGGACAGTTTCAGTGTTGCCATTACAGTGTGAAATGCCGCTCTAGCTTGGTTCAAATCGTCATGCCATTTGATCAAATATCCGTAATGAAAGATCGTCGATTTTAAATGGTTTGGTTTGGTTTTTACTGTGGTTTTTTTTTTTTGACATTAAATTTTTTCGGGCGTGATCGACGTATTGATGTAAAGCTTCAAGATTTAGGCAAGATAGCTGACTACATGGTACTGACATATCCTGGTTGTTGCACTAAGCCATCATCCACACCAAATATGCCTGATGAGCCGCTTAACCAACGGCGAAACGCGTCGCATAGTGGTGAGTGTGTGATAGTGTCTATCTGGCTTTCCTTTTCACTGCAAATTTCAGATCATTATGCACGTCTCGAAAGAGAAAACAGACACATAAATCATAAAACATATGATCTTCGCCTTAACAAGGCAAAACTCAAAAATTCAGCCGAGCCTGGCTGTGGGATTTGAACCGCGGACCTCGGTGTGCAGCCAACTAGAAGTTGCCGTCTCTACGTTCAGAGCCATTAACCCGTCTTCCTAAAGCAGTACTAAAACAAGTGTATGCATTGGAAGCAATGTAGTTGTTGTGGACAAAAAAATCCATCACTACAAAAACAAAACGTTGCTGTGAAAAAGATCTGCCAATAGAACGTGAGTCGAACCTGGAGAGTTTCTAGTGTATAATTCGCATATGCTAATTTGCAATAAGTTGGAAATATATACTACTTTCCAGAGAACGGCCCTTGTAAGCCATCATCCACACCAAATATGCCTGATGAGCCGCTTAACCAACGGCGAAACGCGTCATATAGTGGTGAGTGTGTGATAGTGTCTATCTGGCTTTCCTTTTCACTGCAAATTTCAGATCATTAAGCTCGCCTCGAAAGAGAAAACAAACACATAAATCATAAAACATATGTTCTTCGCCTTAACAAGGCAAAACTAAATAAAGAAATCACATTACCACGCTTGAATTCCATCACGAATAACTTTTTTCTGGAAAATTCTCAGCAAAATGCTTTTGTGCGCTTGTAAACAATATAATGAGCTGTCACTGGAATAATTTTAACAGCTGTCGGACGAGTGGCTTTGAAATGACAGCAGTCTGAATTTGGTTGCGGTTTTTTTATCTCACCCTGTATAATTGCTTGTCCAACGTTTGGCTACTGGGTAGTATTCTCAAACAACGTGGTGTGATTGAAAACTTCAAAGGCCATTGATAAGTAAAGAATTAAAGCTCTTAAAGAATTCTAATGCTGAGAAATAGTAAAGCCTCAAGAACCTTTGCTACTGTCGGCTTGCCTTTGAATGTCATCATTCTGGCCTGGCTTTAGTGGCGCAAATCGACTCCCGGCGCATCCACTACCATTTAAATTCCGTCCGCACCCAACGCTTTGGATGACTTAGAGTTTTGGATGACAGTTGCAAAATCACCCCCATCGTAAACTGGGGGAGATAAATGAAGGATAAATATAATAGTTTTCTTTATTTCGACCTATAACTATAATTATATAACTCGGGGTGCTCAACAGATTAGCAATTAAAATGGCCAGAGCACCTCTTTAAATCAGTCACCCGTTACGTGTTAAAAAGTGACCGCGGTCCTTTATTATTATCAGGTATCCAGGTTTCGAGAGTGATTTAACGGTTACCCACAAATTACTCATATCAGTTCCAATATCGCAAAACTTCAGATGGTTTAGCCACTTTTTTCTCTTATGCATCTGTACAAATCTGATAAGTTTTTAAGATTTTCCCATTGCAGCAAAAACTTTTCTAATAACATGGTTTGTGGACAATAACAAATGCCCACAAAATATGGACAAAAATTTTATTCAAACACAATTTAAATTATTAAATATTCGTATGGAATTTCGAAAATTGACTTTTCAACAATTCAGCAAAAGAAAAACAGATCTATGTTGAAAGCAAACCAAATATGTCCAATTTCATGATCTATACCAATTTCGAAGGAAAAAAAATTCAGTAAAGAAAAAATATTAAAGCATTAAATTACTTTCAATTCGATTATGCACTTTAAAACGTATCCAGTAAATTGCATTATTTTACACTTGTTTTAAATATTCTTTCACTTTTTCACATCTTTATAAGTCTATTGTCGCTTTACAACTAAAAATGCGTCACTATAGATAGTTGCTTACGGCAAGAAGTTATTTCTTGTTAAACGTCATCAATTAACAATCGATAATAATTAACTATTTATGAGTTGGTAGGGACACAATGCTTTTGCTTCCTTTCAATTTTGCTGTGGACTTTAACAAATTACACACACAACCATTGATGAATGATGTGACCGTGCCACTTTATAAAGAAATCAAGGTGTAATTTTAAGTTCCATTACGTGCCAACCGTCATTGTCGTCGTATGCCTTATTGAGACACAAGTGACAACAATATGCACCACCACTAAGCGGTGAAGATACACAATATGCAAAACATCAAGACAAATATAAAAGGACAACAATTGCACAAATCAATGTTCCCGCCACCCATCTTCGTTGCATCGCCGCCCCCACAGCTAAGGAGGCAATGAAGGAGGCGAGTGGTCTCGTTGTACACGGACAATTGAGTTTACTGATGATGATGATGATGAGTTCTCGGTTTTCTATTATATGACCGTGTACATGCATTAACTATTGTTGTTGTTAGTGTCAACGTTGTTCCTCTCTATCATCCGTTTATTATTATTAATGTCGTGTGACTGTCAGAGTCTAGAGTAATAGAGTAAGTCAGTCCATGATGGCTTTGGTTTTGTTCTTCAATTGTTTACCAAATTCAGAAAAAAAAGAAGAGGATATGCGATGTGACTGCTGTGACTATGACGACAATTGTTCAGGCTCTGACGCACACTCGTCATTATTCCCCGCGTTAAGGAAAACAAAATAAAATGGCACCCCGGCACATTTCTTATAGGCAGGCAGGCGGCTGCTTAGTATTCAAACTATGGCATCGGCTTGGTGTGTTTTAATTGCACTTTATGGAATTAATTTGCTGGCTGCAAGTGCAAGGAAACTTTTAATATTTCAACAAGTCTTTAACCTACCTTGATAAATTCTTTGTATTGATTTTAAGAATTTAATAATAAGTGGAACATATCAGGCGTGTAATCCGCGTACCACGACTTATTTTCGATGTTTTGTTGTCGCAAATAAATTCATGAATGAGGACATGTAAGATTTTGAAACATTTTTAAATCGAGTTTGATTTTAAAATTTTTAGCGTTTTATCCGTAACACGTCTTATTTTTGATGTTCTGTTGTCACAACTTAACCCAAGACTGAAACAACTTTGCATATTGTACATCATAGTATTTTTATTTTAGTTTCTTTAAGGATATCACATTACATCAAAACTAACCCCGTGTGTTTACTTTGACAAGAAACGGATATAAAAAAGCAAGAAACTGTTGCACAAAACAGGATCACCATCATTGCAGAAAGGATTAAATTTCGTGGCTTTAGTTTTTTTTGAAAGGATATGCCAAATTGGGTGGTCTTATAATTTTTCAAGGGTGGTCTTGTATAATGTTCATAATTTTTAGTTCACTTATAAGGCAGCTGCTACAGCAACTATGACTTTTATGGATGGACACATTGAAAACCATTGTTCATTCTCCAAATGTAAGAATATTAAAAAAAAAAAATAGCAAATTAAATTAATTTTAGCGAGTATACAAGTCTTTTGTATTCAAAGGCGTTCTTTTGATTCGATCGTATGTCTGCTGAGGTTCGACCAAACTTGCTTTGCACGAAACCAACCATTACCACCATGTGACCTATTACAGGGTGAGATGAAAAAACTGCATCCAACTTCAGACTGCTGTCATTTCTAAGCCACTCGTCCGACAGCTGTTAAAATTATTCCAGTAACAACTCATTATATTGTTTACAAGCGTACGAAAGCATTTTGATGAGAATTTTCCAGAAAAAAAGTTATTCGTAATGAAATTCAAATATGATAGTGTGATTTCTTTATATTTGGCTGGAAAATCAAAAGTGACTATCGTTAGAGCACTCCAGCATTTAAATGTGAATAAATCTTTTGTGTCACGTTAACACCGCTCGTTACCGTGATACTGGAAGCGTAGCCCGACGTCAAGGAATTGGACAGAAGAAATCAGCAACATCAGCGGAAATGGTTCGAAAAGTAAGGTAAAGTCATTGAAATTTCAAAAAGACCTTACACCGCAACAGAAAGAAAATAGACTCAAAAGAGCTAAAGAGTTGCTTAGCTTGGCCGAAAGTGGTGAACTGTTGAATTTGGTTTTCTCTGATGAGAAACATTTGTTGTCCAGCAGTTTTGTAAACAAACAAAACGATCGTGTTTACTTGGCAAAGAAGTCAGCTGAAAATGTGCACCCTCGATTGGCCACCAGAATTTAAACGTCGGTCATGGTGATGGTGTGGCCGGCCATAACAGGGGATGGTCGTTATGAGTTCGTATTAATCGACCGTGGCATCAGAATAAATGCCGAATATTATAACGAACATATTCTGGAGGGTATATTAAAGCCTTGAACACGCAAACATTTTGGCCGCAGACCTTGAACATTCCCACACGACTCAGCACCACCGCAATCAGCACGTGCCACCCAAGAATGGTTACAAAATGATGTTCCTCGCTTCATTTGCAGCGCGCAATAGCCACTAAAATCTCCGGATACCAATCCGTTGGACTATTGTGTCTGACACTAAAAAATACCAAAGTGTCGACCACCTTAACAAATATTATGCCATTCTAGCTAAATATTTTTGCCCAAAACATATTCCTTAAGCTGAGTAAAGGATCTGTACTCAGACCTTTCTAACAGCATTTGACAATTTATATCTTATCCAGCCCACAGTTCTGTTGGATTTATACAAAATACCATTTGTAAAGAATTCGGCACTTTTCGTTAAACACATGTCTTCCAAAACGGTATTCAGCTTAAAGAATAATTATATGATCAAAGTTCCATGTGTATAGGTATGAATTCCTTCTTCAGTCAGAACATCATCGAAATAAACCCCAACCAAAGTACTTATCTGTTTATTAGCGACATAGTTTGTATTTCTTTGTTTCTGATATTTGTTTTGATTTTGTTGCGTTATTTTGTTTTCGCCATAAGGCAGCTGTTTGTTTGATTGCCTATGTTAAAGAATGTTGAACGGGTCAGCAGCAATGAACGAAGTTGGGAAGTACAAGAGGGGGTGTTGATTGGGTGCCTTTGGAAAAAGCGCATAAGATTTTTATACACAACAAATCAAAAGAACCTGCAAAACGACGGCGGACGCAAACAACAACAATAATACAGCAGATAAAAAAAACAACAACCAAAAGAATTCTTATATACAATAATTTATGTCAGTTATACGACGGCATGGATACAAAAAGAGGTAGTGTAGTGGGTAGGTGGTTTATGGGGCGGTGGGCAACAACGACCCGACGCACCACACACACTCTGATTACCACCGCCGTAGCAGATACGCGATATTATTTATTCCACCAATTCCAAATTATGACGAATACTGTGTTTATTTTAAAAGCATTAAGTTTATCATGTTGTGTACATTAATCATCATTTTCCGGACAGCGAAAAAATTCGTTCTTACATTTCTTGTGGCTGAAAATTCCTTTCTCACTCACACTGAGTGTTGTTGTACCCATCCACTATATCCATTATTATTCTTTTATGATGTTATCATCATTGTTTTTTTCGATTTCTTCTTCTGCACCAGACGCACACACAAAACCCTGTGGTCGATTCACACACAATTTTCTTGAATTGTTATTTTTTATTAAACTTGATTTATATAACTTAATTTGTGTATTTAAATGATTTCTTTTTACTTTAAGTTTTATTTAAATCTTTTCCCTTAATATCACATTACATTTTGCACTACTTTTATTTCTTTTTTTTTTTGAGTTCAACTTTGTTGTTATATTGATTGGTCTCTGAAAAATTTCGCCCATACACTGAGTACCGATAAAAAAAACATTCGTGTCGTCGTTTGTCTCTCTCTCTCTGTTTTGACTGTCAGGGAGAGCCAGTCATATGTTCTAGCTGTCAGAGTTGTGTTTACTTAGCCGTCACAGCAATGTTTAGCGTTGGACAGAATGAGGTTAAGGCGGCGGGCGAATAAATATTGATTTGAAACTACAGTGTGCACTAAAGATATTAATAAATGCAGTGGATATTTTAAAAAAATAATAAAATAAAATATATATTAGAGTTAGAAGTCCAAATCTTTTATACTAATAATCTGCACAAATTTATATTTATCGTTGTTATTGCAAGTTTGATTTTTTTCTTTTTGATTTTATTTATAATGACAGATTTAAGATTCAGTCCATACCATGGTACAATAAAAAGGTAAGGTAGAGCTACCAGCTGATAACAATTTTTTTTCTAAGTGTGCCCGACTACTGCCAATTTTGTGTATGTATTTATTGTTTTGAAAAATGGAACCAAAATATGATTGGAAGACACATAGATTGCGGCTCGCGCATTAAAGCTATTAACAAGTTTAGCCATGATATTGAAAGGTTGAACAGTTTGGATCATATTTTTGAGAGGAAATCCAGGCATTTCATTCATTTTTCCCGCTATTCAATTCATTTTAAAAAAGGGGGAAATTATGAAAAAGAAAACTTGTTGTATATAATTTTAAATGAGTATGACAGGAAGCGGCATTTCTGCAGTTTTACAAAGCTGCTCCACCTCCTTATTGTACCATGGTCCATACAGGGCTCTTATCACAGTATGTTTATAATTTATGCTTTGATTTATTTAACATACAGTATTTTTTGCTTACCTGCACAATCAAAAATTGCACGACATCTTGTGCAGCAATGCCCAAAATGCAGGTAGCTTCATTGCACTTATCTGCACAATGAAGCAGGTATCTTTAATTTTACTTACGTGCACAAAAAGTGCAGGTATCTTTAATTTTCTATTCGTATGTATTTGAGCATCAGTGGTGTTTTATCCAGCATAACCATCTTTTAGTGTGGGAGAGGAAGCGAGAATATGTTTTTAATGCATGCTCTTTTCTTGTGTTATTGTTTTTGCGAATACAAAAAAAAAAAAAAAAAAAAAAAAAAAATTCGAGGCAGGAATGTCCAATGTGCAGCTATCGATTGGGCACTTAAATACAATTCAAATAAAGGGATTCAGAAAAAAATGGCATAACAAAAGTTTTTTGGCCTGCAAAGGCCAATGCGCAGCTAATGTTGATGCAGGTAAATAGAAACCACTGTAAAATTAATGGTTTTCAGAAGATAATTCTTCCACCTATTACAATTGCATGCATTTAAACCAGAGGTGAACAAATCAAAATAGATTATTTAAGATTGCATGTTTCATTAAAATTCACAACTTTAATAAATGAATTAAGCAAAGTCATTGCTTTCTTCGAGGTTAAACAAAAAATAGGAGAAATTGGACTGATGTGCTAGAATTTTGTGTTGCGCTATTCATTACTATAAAATTCTCATTTCTAAAAATTTGTTACGAAGCGGAAATTAGTCGACACATGAGACGTTCCATTCATATTTTGCCGCTTAAATGGTACCTAGCTTTCAAGTTTAATCAAACAGAGCTAAATGACAGTTGTAAAAGATATGCATAAAAGATTGCTATCGGACGCGTTTGCAGGTTGCGGATTCTGGGAAGCCCAATAGATAAAGGGTGACATGAAAAAACTGCAACCAATTTCAGACTGCTGTCATTTCTAAGCCATTCGTCCGACATTGTTAAAATTATTCCAGTGACAGCTTATTATATTGTTTACAAACGTACGAAATCATTTTGGTGAGAATTTTCCAGAAAAAAAGTTATTCTTGTTGGAATTCAAGCGTGATATTGTGATTTCTTTATTTTTGGCTGGAAAACCACAAGTGGCTATCGTTAGATCGTATTTACTTGCCAAAGAGGTCAGCTGAAAATGTGCACCTTCGGTTGGCCACCAGAACTCAAGCGCCGGCCATGGTGATGGTGTGGGTCGTCATAACAGCCGATAGTCGCTTTCCGCTCGCATTTATCGACCGTGGCATCAGAATAAATGCCGAATATTATCGCGAAAATATTCTGGAGGGTGTGTTAAAGCCTTGGGCACCAAACATTTTGGCCGCAGATCTTGGACATTCCAACAAGACTCAGCACCATCTCACTCAACACGCGCCATCCAAGAATGATTACAAAATGAGATTCCTCGCTTCGTTTGCAGCGCACAATGACCACCAAAATCTCCGGATACCAATCCGTTGGACTATTGTGTCTGGAATATTTTGGAAAGCAAGGTTGGGACTAAAAAAATACCAAAGTGTCGATCACCTCAAGCAAGCGCTTCGCGGGAATGGGCCAAAATACCGCAGAGCAACATTTGGGCAGCGTGTGACAGTTTCATTGGCCGTTTAAGGCCATAATTCGTGCTAAATTTGCCCAATTCGAACAAATCTAAACTTATTCTAAAATTTGATGCTATTTTCGACATTTTTTGCTTTCATTCAATAAAATTTAAAAAAATGTAAAAATTATGACGTTTGCAGTTTTTGTTGCAGTTTTTTATCTCACTCTGTACACCTAGTATCAACAAAAGAATAAAGATGTGTGTAGACTGGACTAATATTGTCCATTTTTATAAAGAAAATAATTTTATTTTAGAAATTTGGAAGAAGAAGCGTAACAATATTGAAGTTTATCCCAATTCGAATACTCATCTCAAAATTTATTGTGTGCACCAGACGACTGGACAGGCAGAAGGGCATGAATAGATCAACTCAAAATGTCCTGAAACGGATTTTGTCCAAAGAAACTAGTTTTCTGAAAACCGTTATTTCGATGAGTCACATTTTTGCTGTATCAAATAAAATATTCCCTCTGTAGTAATTAGGGTAAGAACATAAATAAATATACTAAGTATTGTTTTGAAATTGAAAAAAATCCACTGGATTATGTTCTTTGAAAGGTCTGTTAATAATAAATCACGGATGTGGATCCGATTTCAATTGTTTCCTTTGCGGAATAGTTCCTACGATTTTTAGACTTATTTACGGCGAAAATGTTTACATGGAGCGAGTTATTTAAATTTTCAATATCTTTGATCAAGAGTTAAAAAACAAAGAATTTTCGTAAAATACTTAATTCATGTTTCGGCATTAAAGAACTCCACTGGAATCTCCCATAATTTAATGGAGGACGTGCCAAATAAATCCGTTTGGGTATTTAATCTTATTAAGGCAAAATTATTTCTCTTAAAATTTTAACAATTGTTTTAATTGTTTGATTGTTTAATCACAGTTATAGGTAATTTATTTGATGTTCTATCCGCCTTGAGAACCGCCTGGAGAAATGCTCATTGAAATGTTTTCGTTTTTTGCTCAATGAAATCTCTTCATTTTTTCGAGGATGGAAAATTTTAAATATTTCTTACATATTTTCCTTTTGAATTGCCTCATTTAATATTTTTCATTAATATCGGACCTTTTGAATTGCCTTATTTAATATTTTTCATTAAAATCGGACCACGAAATATAAGAACTGCTTTTTTGCCACTTAAAAAACTATTCACAAATTACATTGTTGGTGTTGACGCAAATGTCTCTATTATTTTGCTCATCCTCCCTCTCTCTCTGAATAGAGTCACTGCTCCTTAATGATTCATATTACCACAGACACTTTCAGCCAAGAACAAAAAAAAAAAAACACATATTAACCTAGTCAACAACATTTTACGTTGAACCGGAAATGCGTGTGTAATGAAATGTCAAAATTAGCATTTGTTTTAATAGTTTGTTTTCTTGCATTCTTTTTTTCACTGTTTAGGAGAATAGGTATGTGTGTGTTGAAAGTATTTTCAAAATACCTACACACAAAAAAAAAGGACAACGGTAAACAATCAAATGACGTTTAATCCAGACACTCGTTCAAGACAACTATAATACTCTCTGCTTGCTCCTCTCTCTCCCTCACTCTAGTCATCGGCATGGATAATGAGTTGCTTGTCAGATGTCCTATGACAGCTTTATGTGTACACCACCAGGGGGCGGAGGGAGTAGGGAGGTTGTAATATAGTGTAAAATGTTATACATAATTTATGTTGTAAAGTCCATTTGTTGGGAAATGTTGGCAATAAAAATATTTAACAATATTTTACACATACACATGTACAAACTATGACTTACAATCTTCACTTTTAATTGAAACACATTGAAACTCGCTTTGTTTGGAAAATTTTCCGTTTCTTTTGCTTTGTTGGTATTGTAATCAATGTAGATTTCTTTGACTTATACAGGATAACTGAAGGGGCAGACACTTTACACACAAACACACACACAATCTCGAGCGCACGGTATACCAAAAAATTAACTTACAAAGGCGACTATTTTTTCAATGATATTTGCACTTTGAATTGCTATATTTCTTCTTCTTTTTCAATATTTGCAAATAACCGTTATGAAAATCTGTTGTTTCTTTCTTTGATTTTATTTATTTTAAAATTATTTTCTTTTGTTTTCCTAACAAAAATTGCGAATATTACGTGGACTACGACAATCTGAAAAATCTGTTCCTTTTTTCTTCGGCTGGGTATTATTGTGAGAAGTATTGAAAGAAAAGAAAAAAACACAGATACCCGTCAGCCGTTGTTGTTTGTCGTCAAACGTCAGTGCGCATGTCCGGGCAAATGTCAGGATAAACAGTAAATTAAAGAAAACACAACAAATATTTGGATCCCTGTAGCAATTGGATGCTGGACGTCATCAGTTGTTGAGAAAATGCCGCTTACGTCTATAATTATGCCCTGCAATATGCTGCTGCTGGGTTGTGTGGTGTTTTTTTTTTGTATTGTAATCTTTAGTCCTTGTTAAGCAGAAAGGAATTAAGTCAGAAATATTTAAAAACACATAAAACAAGTTGGCATGGCCGACTTTTTATACTCTCTATAATGTGAAAACTTGATTATTGTTTGAGTGGAATACGAAATATCAGATTCGGTTGGAAATTGGGACGCTTAAAATGTTG